GAGCCTAAGTGCGAGCCTAAGCACTAAGCGAGGCTGTAGCGATTCACGCACACTGAGGCGAGGCGAAATGGTGAGGCGATGAAGAAGCGCATGAAGCGAGGCTTAGGCGATGAAGCGGGAGGCGAGAGGAAGCGACGCTTCACCAGATTTTTGCTTCATTTCAGTTCGAATCATCTATGCCCTTCATCTGGATGACTTTTGTGCAATTTACGGGCATGCGTTGCACTTTATAATTGCTTTCTACTAAATAAGAAGTCGAAACCCTAGGTTGACTTCGTTCGTCGACATTGAAAGGCATACCCGAAGTCGACTTCACCTGGGTCTTCTTCTTCTTTCTTCGGACGTCGTTCCAATCGATTATCCGAGGTGAGTTCCTTCTTCTTCCTTTCTTCTTTCTTCCCTTCGACTTCACCTAGGTCTTCTTTTCTTCGACTTGAAGAACACTGTCGGACCCCCCCTTTTTTCCCCTCTATTCTTCCTTTGTTCATTTTTTTCTTCGACTTGAAGAACACTGTCGGACCCCCCCTTTTTTCCCCTCTATTCTTCCTTTGTTCATTTTTTTCTTCGACTTGAAGAACACTGTCGGACCCCCCCTTTTTTCCCCTCTATTCTTCCTTTGTTCATTTTTTTCTTCGACTTGATATTCATCAAAAGTCAACAATTACGGCTGCACAACTCTCAATTCAAATTTTTCCCTACAAATCAATTTTTACAATTTTTTATTACACATTTTTCAATAAAAAGTCAAAAAGTTAACCCAAACATCCATATTTTCAACCTCAATTTTTTAGTCCAAAAAGACAAAAAGTGCACTTTTTTAGTCTTCCCAAACTTGGCCTTATTTTAATTCAATTAATTATTTTTCTGCGTTATTTTTCTTCCATCATAATTTTTTTTCAATTAATTTGTTTAATTAATTTTTTGTGTTATTTTACAATTATTTTGTTATGTTAATTGTGTAATTATTTTGCTGAAATTTTAATTATTTTGCTGAAAAAATTTCAATTAATTTTGCTGAAAATTTTCAACTATTTTGCTAAAATTTTAAATATTTTGCTGAAAAAATTTCAATTAATTTTGCTGAAAAATTTCAATTATTTTGCTGCTAAAAATATGTTCTTTAATTTCTTTATGCTGAAACATTGAATTGCTTGTTGGATAGAATTAACGTCGAAGTTGAGTGAAAGTAAAAAAGTTCCGGCATGGCAATATGCACGGATGGTAAATCCCCAAAACCTTTCAAAGTTCATTTGTAACTTTTGCGACAAAGAAATGAATAGCGGTGTTTACCGAGTCAAGCAACATCTTGCTGGTGGTTATAAAAATGTTGTTGCTTTTAAAAAATGTTCATCTCATGTCAAAGATGAGATTAAAGACTATATGTCTCAAAAAAGTCCATCAAAGGTGCAATTGAAGATGGTTCCTGATTTTGATGAGATGGATAATGATGAAGATGATGATGATGATGATGATGATGATGAAATTCTTGAGATAAATCAACATGGTAAAAGGCCTGTTTCTACTCAAGGTTCTACCCGTCGAGAACAAGGAAGTAACTCCTCCAAATTTGTTGGTTCCAAACAACCAAAGCAAAAGAGACCCATGGATGTATACTTCACCCCTGATCCGGAAGTTGCGGTGCAAAATCATAAAGCCAAGGGAAAGCAAACAAGAATTGATGATAATGATCCTAGCAAGAAGGTGTTGAGAGATCGGGCTCTTGTTTGGTTTTCGAGGTGGATGTATAATACGGGTATACCTTTCAATGTTGTGAACTACAATAGTGTTGGGCCAATGGTTGAAGCTTTTGGGTAATATGGTCCTGGCATGAAACCACCAAGCTACCATGAGGTGCTGGTTCCTTATTTGCAGAAAGAGGTAGACCACACTAATAAGACCATGGAGGATCATAAAAAAGATTGGGTAACTATGGATGCTCTTTAATGGCCGATGGGTAGAAGGACCAAAGAAACAGGGCATTAATTAATTTTTTGGTTAATTGCCCAAGAGGATCAATGTTTATTGAATCCGTTGATGCTTCTAGCGTATCCAAGGATGCAAATAAGATGTTTGAATTGCTTGACAACTTTGTGGAGCGTATTGGTGAAGCCAACGTGGTTCAAGTTGTTACAGATAGTGCCTCAGCAAATGTGTTGGCCGGTTAGTAACTTAGCAGTATACATTTACTTAGTACTTACTTACAATATGAATATGCAATTCTCATATTATTCTTTTTTTTTTTTTTAAACTTGTAATATGGAAGTTTTTGGAGGCAAAGCGGCCACATTTGTATTGGACACCATGTGCAGCTCATTGCTTGGACTCAAGGTTTTAAAAAGCGGCCGCAACCATTACGTAACGCCATTACGTAACAGTTTTGGCGGGTTACCGCAACCCGTTACGACCGCTTTTGTAGTGTGATTGAGATTCACAGGTGTGTCGGCTGTAACGGCTGCCATAGCGGTCGTAACGGTTTCAAACTGTTTCTTTCGAAAAAAAAAAGCTGAAAATGGGGGAAGAGGGATAGAGAGAAGAGGGAGGATAAAGAGAGAAAATGGAGAAGCAAGAGATAGAGAGAGAGAAGAGGGAAGATGAAGAACATGTTATAGATTTGTTGAAACTGTATGACCTATGCTATTCTATTCAGCTGTTATTACTAAACCATTTTGTTTGTGTGTGTCTATCTATATTTTGTTTGATAATAATAATAATAATAATAATAATAATAATAAGTGTGGTCATTATCTATTTAGCTTGGTTAAAATATGTATATATATATATATATTTAGGCTCTTATTTATTCTCATACTTTTGTCATTGTTTATTTTATTTTTCAAATTGTGCGAAAAATAAAAAAATTCACGGTTCCGGTTACCGCAACCGTTATACTACGGCCTTTACACCCCGCAACCGCAACCGCATCACCGCTACCGTTACGACGACCGCAACCGCTTTTCAGAACCTTGCTTGGACTTGATGTTGGAGGACATTTTCAAAATTCCCAACTTCAACAAGACATTTGAAAAGGCAATTGCGGTGCATGGTTATATTGTGAACTACTCTGGTTTGTTGAATATGATGAGGCAATTTACCCAGTGCAAGGATTTGATCAAGCCATCAAAAACTCGATTTGCAACTGCTTTTCTAACTTTATCAAGGATTCATCAACAACAAACCAACTTGAAGAAGATGTTCACTTCAGAGGAATGGACCACAAGCAAGTGGGCGAAGGAACCACAGGGTAAAAAGATAGCACAAGTCATATTAATGCCTTCTTTTTGGAACACTATTCTTTATGCTCTCAAAATATCAAGTCCTCTTGTTCGTGTACTGCGATTGGTTGATGGTGAGAGAAAGCCTCCCATGGGATATATTTATGAGGCAATGGATAGGGCTAAAGAAGCCATTGCAAAATCATTTAATGGAAATGAAGAGAAATACAAGGAGCTTTTTGAAATAATTGACAATAGATGGAATGTTCAATTGCATAGGCCTTTGCATGCAGCTGGGTATTATTTAAACCCAGAGTATTTTTACGCAAATCCGAATATTTTGAGAAAGATAAGAAAGTCATGTCAAGCCTGTATAAATGCATACAAAGGTTGGTCCCAAACAATGCGACACAAGATAAAGTTTGCGCAGAGTTGACTACCTATAAGAAAGCTGATGGTCTCTTTGGGATGGCTTTGGCCATTAGACAAAAAACTTCAAGGGCACCAGGTGATCTATATTTTATACTTAAGTAATTTAGGTGATCTATATTTTATACTTAACTAATTTTAGTTAGTTTATTTATATTTTAAATATTCTTTCAACAGCTGATTGGTGGAGTGCATATGGTTCTGAAACGCCAAATTTGCAAACATTCGCCATCAAAATTCTTAGTCTAACTTGTAGCTCATCTGGATGTGAGCGGAATTGGAGTGTGTTTGAACATGTGAGTACCTATTTATAACTATAGTGAATATGAATACCTATAAATTTATTAATACCTAGATAAAAGTTTGAATATTTTTATTTGGTTTAAATTTTTGCAGATTCACACCAAAAAGAGAAATAGGTTAGCTCAAAAACGTCTGAATGATTTGGTATTTGTCAAGTATAATAGAGCATTGAGATGTCGATACAATTCCCGTGACACTATTGATCCCATTGCTTTGACGGATATTGATGAAAGTAACGAGTGGTTGGTTGGGAGGATGGAGGAGGAACTTGTCTTTGAGGATGATACTTTGACATGGGATGATGTTGCTAGAACTGCTGGAGTTAAGGAAAGTAGCCAAAGAACTAGATCAACAAGGGCAATAGAAAGGGGTTGTTCAACTTCAAAATTAGCAGCTAGACCTAGATTACAACTTATTAATGAGGAAGAGTCAATTTCAGATGGGGGAGAGGAAGAAGATGCAAAGGGATATGCTGAAGCCAATGATAATGAAGAAGAAGTTCATTTGCTTGATATTGAAGATTATTTTTAGAACTTTTGGATTGGTGGATTGTATTTGTCTTTGTTGGATATTTTCTTTTGTTTATGGATATTTCATATTTGGAATGATAACTGCATGATGGTTCTTGAAAATATTTATATTTTTGTCTATACCATTTATTTTAAAAAAATATCCTTTCTGGTCGCCTCAAATCGATGAAACCCTCGCCTCGCCTTATCGCCTTGCGCTTAGGCATTAGGAGACCTTGTCGCCTCGGTTCGCTTTTCGCCTTAAAAAACACTGGGACACATATCCCACACCCTTGTCCTGGTGTCAAGTGTCCGACATGGATATTTGATTTATTTTGAAAAGTCCATTTAACACAGTCCCTCATAAGAGTGAATGAGCAAGAGATTCTAGTTGCGATCTCTGATGAATTCGCTAATGCAGGTAACATGCGAGTAAATTTGCATGCAAAAGAATCAATAATTCTAACCTGAAAATAACATGTGAATAAATTTGCTAACAGACAAACAAGACTGCATATCTAGCAAACAAACTATCTATTAAGTATACCTGGAATAATAGCTTGCACGCATATGGCAATTTCATGGTAGAAACATTCTCCCCATTCTTACATGTTGAACAAATACTGGTTTTTAGCTTATGGTTGTAATATCCTAACAAACCACACTTTCGGCAAACCTGCGACAAAACATGAGTACTCTTAGCTATATCATGGTAAAATAGCCATTATTTACAGTCAACTGGGAAAATCGCAGTTTTTTCCCTTCAAGAATTTAGTGTTTAATGAAGATAGAACATAGAACACAATGGCCCCGTTTGGTGTAGCTTTTAAAACAGTTTATAGATTATAACTTAACAGATTATAGATTATGCCTTTAATCAGAAGTTGTTAATCTGTTTGGTGTAGCTGTTAGATTATAGATTTAAGTTGCTGAGTAGTGTTTGTTAAATAAGCTGTGAAATAGCTTTTTCAATTAATTTTTATTTTTTGTTTGTCTACATTTCTCATAAAAAATAATAATAATAATAATCTATAGTCCATTTGAGTCTTTTTCTATTTTTAAAAAAATAAAAAATAAAAAAAAATTAAGAGTATAACCATAAATTAACATGTCCACAGCAGAAGCTGATAATCAGAAGCAAGGGGTGAGCAGCTTCTCAGAATCAGTTTTTTTGAGTTAAAATAAGCTATTAGAATCAGAAGCTGTTTGAAATAAGTTTAACCAAACAGTCCAAAATAACTTTTTCAAAGCTAAAAGCCATAAGTTGGCTCTGAAAAGCTGAAACAAACACCCCCAATACTAGCACATGTTGGAAACCACAAGCTTTAGAGCAGTGGTATCCTACTACTGTTATGCATGCATATAGGATAACTTTGAATCAAAACCACGTCGTCAGTTATTTGGTGAAGTTACTACAAGACTGCAACTAAAGCTGGAAAACAGAATCTGCTGATTTTCAGGTCACCAGAGATGAACACGTTTAATGCTTCACAGTGGTTGTTCTTGTCTCATCGTGAGGGAACCAAAAAGTTTGCTCAAATCAGGGCTAGAATTTGTGCATGGAATTCAACACTGGTTTCTCTCAAATGCCCAGCACAGTGGACAGATTGGTGAATGCAAGAGTGGCAAGATAATTTCAAGACTTGAGTGACATTTCAAGAAAAGTAGAGATGTAGTTTTGTTTTATTTTTTTATCTTTCGACATTAGCATGCTATCCACAATCTATTATAAAGTTTCAATAGACAATTAGCAATAAATTTGCAGTGAAGTTTTGCCGTAGTTTGTAATTGGAAAAAAATGAAAATTATGTTTGGGGGACATAAATAGGCTAGCAATATGTCAAAAACAAAAGCATGTTAAAATGAATGTGCAAAAGCACTCCCATTTCAATATTTTGCACTCTTTTTGAGGCACATAATGCTCCTTAAATGCAAGAACAAAAAATTACCTAGAACAGGCTTTAAACATCTCAAAAGGGCGTTTTGAATTGCACAACTTTTTGGCAGATATTCATTGCTAATCATAAAGAAATAAGGAAAAGCCCATTGCAAAAATCACCCTATAGCATTTAAAAATATATATATAGATATATATATTATTCAAATTGGATACATGAGGAGAGAGAGAAAGAGAGCAAGGAATGGTTTCCTAACCCACTGAAATCATTCATCCCATCCCTACAAATGCTCATGATACAGAGCAGAGCCTGGTTTTTTGTTCCTGGAAATGATTTCGTGATACAAATAAACGATTGGCCTCTTCTTCCAACTCAACTTACATTTCAAGGGATCCTTTTCAGTTTGCTAGTTCTACAACTAATACCAATGTCCCCTATTTCATATATCCACTTGCATTAGGCAAGGTTTACCTTTTCCATGTGCTAATTAACAAATTTAGACATAAAAGATATAACAGACTTTGGGGCTGTTTGGGATAATTTAAATAAGTGCACTTTTTGACGTTTTACGAAAAAACGTAAAATATGGGTTGGATTTGAAGTGATATGGTAGAGAGATGATGTGATTTAAATAAGATAATGTGACTTAAATAGGATAGTGACTTTTTGACTTTTTGACTTTTTTAAATTATGCCAAACTAGGCTTTTATGTAGATGAAAGGAAATAAAATCTAAAATTTTACAAGACCATCTCCAAGTCTTGATTTTTGGGGGTTTCCATGTCAAACTCTAGAAGATTAAAACACATGGACACATGCATAGAGGACATATATTTAAACACGCATAGATATTGATTACTTGCTTTTGAATCCTAAAATATCAATGCCCACCTTTTATGGTATATCAGTTACAAAATAACAACTTAGAAAGAAAACAAAGATGTGTGGCAAGGAAGGAGGCACAAAATTGCACAGACGTGACACACCTGAACCTTGAAAGGATCGCTGGAAATCATTAGGCGCTCGAAGATCAACATACTAGTTCCATAAGCAATCAAACAATCACGTTCCATTTCACCAACTCGAAGTCCTGAAAATTTGTACATTAACTTAGAACATAAATATTCTTGAGATGAACAAGAAACAAAGATATATTGAAGATTACAGAAAATTAGAACCTCCGTTTCGACTTCTTCCTTCAGTAGGTTGTCTAGTTATCATGACACGAGGTCCACTACCACGGGCATGCATTTTATCTAGGACCTGAAGGTGGAAAATAATTAGAAGACCAGGGGAAAAAAATGTTAAAGCATCACAATGTGATGTGACGCATAGTTTGTTTCAAAGTTTTTTTTTCTTTCTTTCTTTTTTTGGTGAACAAAAGTATTTGCTTTTGTCCAACATAATGTCAGCATAAGATGGCAAAACATAAAATTGAGGACATGAATAGTGTAATGATTCACAACCAATTAACAATCAATGCAGTTGCACAATAATGTTTATAAGTAGGGGTCATCAATGCGACAGGCCGGGCGTACCCAGTCCGCAACTATTGTGTCCAAATCCTATATTTTAACTGGTTTTTCAGGCTTTGACCAGTCAACAGGCTGTGGGACGGGCCTACTTAAAAAACTAAAACCACGTCCCACCCACAGGCGTAAATCTTACGGGCCAAAATCAAATCAAACCGAGCTACACATTTTTCATTACACTTGATTTATTCAGTTAAACACATTTTTCATTCACATATTTTTAATATTTTTATTAGTTATTTTTCTTGTTTACTTTCCAACATGATTCAAGTATTTTGATTTTGTTTTTTACCATTTTACATCTCATATAATAAAAAAAACAATAAAGTAACATATAATACCGACAAGTGACGGGAAAAAACGGAAAAAAATAAAATAAATAAAGACTTTAAACATGAGACCAATAAAAATCAAACTAAACATTTGACTTATCCATGCAAGCTCTTACGGGCCAGGTTTATGGATGAGCTCGGGTTACAAACCCTTGTCCAAAGCCCTAAATCACCTTTTATGCATCAGGACGGGCTGGGCACTCAAGCGGGCTAGGATGGGCCATGGGACGGGTTGGGTAATATCAAGTTTTTTGTCCGCAGGCCATTTGGGGACCACTATTTATAAGTTGCGAGAAAAGAGATAATATTCAAAATCCATGAGACATATGTTAGAGCACCACTAGTCCTAAAAGCTTAAGTTGTTAAGAGAGGGACCAAACAATGCATATCAAGCTATACAACACCATCACTCACCTACATCCCCATCTTGTGTGTTGATAGGAGTGTGCATGTGAACTGCCAGCCTGATTAAACCGCCCGACCCGGCTCGACCAATTGAGATACAGATGGTTTCGCTTAACTGGATGGTCAGTTGTGGGTTTTTAGTATATGGTTTTCCGGGTTTGAGGTCGAAAACGGGTACATAAAAATCACACCCAATAAACTCGACCCAACCGAATAAATATTACATTATGTATACCTTTCTACCTTCCAGGTGTGAAATATTTATTGACTTATGAAACTATCCATGCAATCTTATCTCTTCTGGTAGACTTTGACAACATGTATGTTCCAATTTCCCATACCATCAGCCTTTGAAAGTGGAGCAGACCTATGTATTCCGATTTCCTGTGCCAACTCCAACGTCTCTCTCTCTCATAGTCTATTCCTATTCCAAAAGCATATATATATATTTTGAACTAGTTCCAATAACAAACTTAAAACCCTAAAATGAAACAAACGAAAACTAAGAGATGCTCCCCCCCCCCCCCCCCCCCCCCCCCCCCACACTCAAATTTCTCTCTCATTTTTCAAACTTTTTCCCTCATCTTTGCGTCTCTTTATTTCCTCCCTAATTTCATTTCAACGGTGGTGAATGAGGGTAGTTACTAATAGCGGCTACGCTTGTTATGGCGGTGTTGTTGATTAACAATGAAGATGTTGAATGGCCGTGATGATGAGTGATGGGGTAGTTACATGGTGAATCTCCACTCTCTCCCATTTGTTCACCATTTTCTTTTCTCTACTTTGTTTATCTTACAGATCTGTCAGTACATTTTAGTTTTCAGATTTGTTATTTTCAACTTTGATTTTTTTCTCCTTTTTCTAAAGATTTTCAAAATCGACCGAATTCGACTGTAAACTGAATGCTTCGACTCAGTCAATTTCGAATGGTAGATCGGTCGATAATGGTTCAGAAATTTTGTAACCCGATAGGATCGGTTTGGTTGCGGTCTGATGATAAACCTGACCCAAACCAACCCGTGCACACCCGTACATGTTGAGATGAAAACATCTATGCACACATAGAACATAACACAAACAGGAAACAAATTCAAATGGAGATAATTGAACCCAAGACCCCAACCTTCCCTTTGATAGCATGTTAGAGGACCACTAGTCCCAAAAGCTTAAGTTGTCAAGAAATGGATCAAACCATACATATCAAGCTCTTCAACAACACATCCATTCCATATGAAGAAAATAACAAAAATGTGGGGAACAACCATTGTTGTCAAATCGCGAATAAGTTTGGGGAACAAACAACAATTATTTGCTATATAGCAATTAAGAAAAAACTAACAATGTCACTTGTGAAACAAAAGTCTATAACTAATATAAAACACACAAACAAACCATATCATGGTCATGTTTCATGCTGCACATAAGTGCTTCTTATGATTTTTATTTTGAAAATTTTTGTCATTGTGTTTGGTGCAACTTCTGCTTGCAACTTATACAATAAAGATTGGTTAAATAAACTAGGGGGGAAAAAGTTGGGGGAGTGATGTCTCAACTTCTACTTTCCTGCGTATCAATTTTAGCTTGCAAAAAAGTTGCACCAAATGAACTTCATATGTAATATTGACAATAAAATAATGAAAAGCTCGATGCTTGAAGTTACTTGATGCTAAATAGTATAAAGAAGTAGGGGTGTTCACAGGCAGGTTCGGACCTGTTTCACTATCAACTCGTCACCCAAACCGATCATCATGGGTAGAAGACTTGAACATCCATTTCGACCAACAAACAATTCGAAACCGCAAGCATCGGGCCATATAGTTTACGGTCGGATTTGGTCGAGTTCTCGGGTGATTTTTCTGAAGACTTGAACATCCATTTCGACCGACAAACAGTTCGAAACTGCAAGCATCGGGCCATATAGTTTACGGTCAGATTCGGTCGAGTTCTCGGGTGGTTTTTCCATCAACAACTTATCCTCCTTTCTTGCACAAACATATATACAGATAGATTTGAGAGAGATGAAGAAAGTGAGAAGACGGTTATGGTGTGGTGTTGACGTTCATAGCCATTCTAAAGCATCAAAACAAAGTGATCTGAATAGTGGTTGTTGATGGCCGAATGGATCTAGATGCAATAAACCATCGGGATAGGAGAGGGGTTGAAAGAGAGAGGGTTTGGAGAGAGGAGGAATGGAGAGAGTTTGGAGAGAGTTCAACAAGAAGAAAGGAAGAGTGAGCAAACTAACAACAATACATATACCTCTGTGTATATATACCCCAAACACCATGTCTATCATAACATCATGTATGTATGGTGATGTGACTATAATAATTATGTATGTTATATATATAAATATACTTAATCGCATGTATCTATGCATTGAAAATATCAACCTGCATGACTGTATTATAGGGTCAAGACACTAGACTAGACTAGACTACTTTACTGTTGGTCAAGCATTTATTGAGTTTTTTTATTGTATTTTGAAATATGAAATGAAAGGGATATGAAAGGTCTAACCTTTTTTTTTTTTTTGAGCCATGTGCTACATTCTCTGTAATTGATATGATTATCATGTGAACAGTGAAGATTCCTGTAAGAATATTTGACTATATTTTCAGACGGTTCAGATTTTGTCGATTTCACAAGGAATAGAACTGCCAGCTGACTGAAATATTGAGAAATTTTACACACAAGAACCGAGCCGACTGTGGAGTCTATTCGAAACAGACCGTAATCATTTGGTTCTGATCAGATTGGGTGGTTTCATCGAGTGATTCAATTTTTTGAACACCCCTATAAAGAAGCACGGCAAGATGATTTTTACTATGTCGTGTAATAATAAGCCAAATCATGATTAGTATGCCAGAATGCTTGTGTCGTAAAAGGATGTGTTAAAGAGGAAGGGTAATGATATACAAACAAAAAACTCATACATAATTTCTATACATAATGATGTGGCTTAATGTAGGTCATTCACTTTAAATCAAAACACCCACAAAGATGACATTTATTTACCAAAATGGCATTGCCACATCATTCTTGTTAGACTTCTGGTATGAATTTTATGTATGGATAGCATTTTCCAAATATGAAAGGTATAAAATGAATTGTGAGTTAAAGAATCAAAGTGTGAAACTTCCTGTAAAATCAAGAGCAGTCTATTAGAAATTGTTACAATAAATAGCTATTTGACCCAAGTAGATGCTTCTGCCATAAAGAAGTGAAGTAGTGCTCTAAAAATGAAGATCAGTGAATTCATACACAACATATTAAACACCAAAAGCATTCAACAGGGTTATCAAAAATTTATTTGTCTATATTCAAATTATATATATATATATATATATTTACATATATAATCACCAATTCAGCCAACAATTACAAACAAACATGGAGAATGACACGAGACCCATATTTCATGCCTACAAAAGCATTGCATCAATTAAAACATAAGTTATAGAGTATTTAAGCCTCACCATGTGTTTCAGCTTCTGGTAATAAATAGGCCCCATGAAAATATAAGTTTGTAGAGGTAAACCAGTAATACCTAAAACAGAATAACAAGCTCAGGATGATTTCATAAAACATACACAAGTTAAATTTAACCACATATATGCGAATTTGTGCATATTATCTTCGTGTTTTACCTTAAGTCATATGTGTTCTATTCTATTAAATAAATGCCTGAAATTTGTCCTCACTATGGTTTTGGGTGGCTATGTAGCACAGACACGGACACGACACAGACGAAGAAGCACATACAAGGACATTATATGAACATGTCAATTTTCAAAAAATGCAGCACACAACACACTTAGGACATGTTAAAATTTTATATAATTTTAGTAATTAATTATAAGTCATATATATCAATAATTTATTCAAAGATAACAAAACATATATAACAAAACAATAATTAGATTATATATTTCATAACTTGAACAACAAGATATCATTCATGTAGCTATTATATTCTAAAGAATGTAAAACAATTATAGAACATTATAATATAGATGATGTGTTCATCATATAAATGTCTTCAACATATTTAGAGTGTATTTTTTTTTTGGGATAAGTAAGTCATATTATAACCAAAAAATAAAGATATACAATGAAGTTCAATACACATCTTTTGTAGGGAGAACAAACATAAACAAAAAAAACAAACTACTCCCTCAAAAGAAACAAACTAAGCCTATAGACGACAAACACAACATACACAACAAAGGATTCAAAATTTCCCTCTGGCACTCTTCAAGTAATGAAGTTTTGCTTTGAGTTTTCTTCTGTTATCCTCCTTTGTAGTCTCCCCATTAACAGGAACACTTGGAGATGGACTCCCTCTACTTTTTAGGCTCTTCATTTGACACAACAACTCTTGATTTAATTCTCCATTCCCCAACTCTCCCATATCACACGATTCAAGGACATCAAAAGCATTAGATGTTGATGGGGTGAAAGGCTGCGTCTCTCTCTCTTTGTTTATCACTGTCGTTGTTTGATATTATGAATTAGATATTTTAATTAACACACATTAAAGAATTGTCGGACACACTTTTAGGAGTGTCCAAAGACTGTTAGTGTCCAACACGGGTGTCGACACAACACACTTCTTCTACAGAAGTGTCTATGCTTCTTAGTGTATGGCATAAAGACCTCATATAATTAACAGAAATTGAATGAAATGTCCCGATTAAGATAGAAAGTAGTTTTCAAATCAACATTTGGATATGATACTTCAATAACATTTAATGAACATTTGGAAAAATGAAGAAACCATCCAATAGCAAATTTCAAAAATAAATAAACAAATAATAAAAGAGATGAAAAACACCTTAACGGTGCTTATTGGTAAAAAGGACAGAGATTTTAGAGCAACTCCAATGGAAAATGTAATGACTTGGACAATGTAATGACCGGGTTAAATTTGAAATTTTACTAATTGTCTTAGAGGCCCTATTAACTTTAAATAACTATAATAAATTCCCCAAAGTATCTCTCTTACTTCAATTGGAACCTCTCTTGATTAATTTTTCTACACAATTGATCATCTCGATTTGTGTGCACTAATTCCAGATCCGACCCGGGGTCTGCGAGAGACTCTACCGGCTCAATAACTGATATTTAGTGGTAATATATTGTATCTTGTTAATTTAGAATCATTCTAATGAATTGAGAAATATAGATCACAGAACATCTCAATTTGTGAGCACAAAGGCCCGATCCAGTTTGAGATTTAGGAGATGGATTGCCCGAGCTCAATGTATATTATTTATGTGTTAATTATGTCTTTTAATTATTTAAGAGCTATTATGGAGAATCAATTAATTCATTTCACAAAAAACTAATCCGAAATTGTATAATTTGAACATAGAAGGTGATAGGCTTTTGGGTGAAATTTATATCTTCTAAAAAACTTGTGAGATGATGTAACACCTCCAAGAGGGCTTAGAGTGGCCGACACCCACTTCCCCCCAAATGTATGTTTTCTATGTTGTTTTTCTTGCTTTAAGTACAACAAGCCTTTGGGTCAATGGGCTTTGGCTTGTCCCCTTTTTTTCTTGTGTTAACTTACATTAACCAAGTGGTATATATGTATATACAAAAACAGAAATTTTATTGGAGAGTTGAGATCAAATGACTTTGCAAGATGGATTTAGAGCCCTTAGACTGAAACTTGAGTTCGTGACTAACCTAAGGTTAAACTAGGGTTAGTTTAGAGTTGTTACAAGCCTAATATAGAGGGAGTGAAATATTGTCCGCCTTATCATACACCAAGCTCGTGCCCTACCCTCTTATTCCCACTCTCAAATTTCTTCACTCTATCTTCATTATTGTGTGCTTCAATGAAAGTCGTGATCATCCATTAATTAGTTTTAGAGCTTAGGTGAGGGTTAGGAGGCCATAAACCACGCTTGAGTGAGATTATTTGTGAGATTAAAGTGAATTCATTGGAGTTTTTGAAAAGATCTTGAAGGGCATTTGGAGTTTCTTGGAAGCTTGGAACATTTGCAATAAGAACACACCATAACCCTCGTATTTCTCACATTTCTTGAAAGCTTTTCATTACACTTGGCGAATTTCTTTATCTTATTGTTTTAAATCCATTCCTAGGCTTTATTTTTTTAAAAAATGGCATGCATAGGAGTTGTATTTCATCGTTTCAAACTATCTCCGTGCCTTGTCTTATTTGAACACTCCATGATGAAATGCTCTCCTATCTCTATTCTTGGAATTTATTTGAGAAAATCACCAACTCATGCCTATTTCATTCTAAAAATTAAAACTTTAATGTTAGAGGTCTATTTTTGCATCAAAACCCTAAAATGTGTATTATTCATTAGAATTCATGAATAATGATATGTGGATTGTTATATTTTGTTCAATTTTGAGAAGTTGACAAATATTAAATTAGGACTTTGCTACTACTTGCCATATTTGATGATTTTTCGTATAAAAATCACTCATTTTAAAAATGGCATAATTTAGAGTTGATTAGATATTTTTGCCATATTTTACAAGTTGGGTTGATTACTAGTTTAATGATTTAAATGATATTTTCATGCCTTGTGTTAATAAAATAGATTCCTTGAATTATTGAATGACTTTTAAGCTATTGAGAGAAAATTGCTAATTTGGATCATTAGGGACATAACAGTCATTTGAGGCTGACAGGGTATTTTTGTTGAATTTACCACTGAAAAAATAAAATTATAAGAACAAATTGGTAATTGGGACCCTTAGGAGTAAAATGGTAACTTTGATCCTTAAGGACAAAAATAGTAATCTTGTACTTAGGTTATACTATATATATGGTTAATTCTATTTACAAACCATTAACACAACAAATTTATATGACAATAATATCTTCAAATAAAAAGACCACTAAGGACAATATTGGTTTGTATTTTACCCATTCAAAGAATTCACATATGAAAAATACAAAAAACTCTTTACACACCATCACCTATAGACATATAAACACTATGGGTGTGTTTGGTTTGTGTTTGTAGAGCAGTTTTTGCGATAAAAAGTACGAAAACTTGTTTGGTTTGCCTTTTTTCAGAAATGATTTTGAAAAATTGTTTTGGGGAGAGAGTTTAAAAAAAAAAGTGATTGATTTGATGTGTATGAAAGAGAGAGAGTGATTTTGGAAAGTAAGTAACCAAACAAAATTTTGAGATTTTTTTTAGAAAAATTTGTTTGGTTTGATTACTCTTGAAAATTTGTTTGTAGAGAATTTTTCCCAAAATTTTTTTTGAAAAACAAACCAAACAAGGCCTATATTTCTTTATCATCTTCCAACACTCATCATCTTCACTATTATAATCTAACACACTACACTTATGATATCACTCATTATCAATTAGCTCACCTCATTCTCTTCTCCATTATAATTATTTTTCAAACTCAAAACATTATTGCCTTTAAATATTTAGGGTTTAAGCACATTGAAATTAATTAATTTTGAAGATTTGCACATCATGGATAACACTCACATTGTTGATTTGTAACAATGCAACAATGAAAAGGTCACTTTATAAGTTACAAAAGCTTTTTGGTTTTTGTTTATCTCATGCGCATAGTCACTGGGAAGATAACTTTGTTCATCATGCGTTCAAATAACCAGAGTTGAATGTTTACACAATGTTTGATTATATATATGCGAACAAAACTATTTTTTTCAAATTATTAAGGTTGACCAAATATTAAATGTTCATACAAAAAAAATTAAACTTTTATTCTTTGTTCGGATATAAAATTTTGAACATAATAAGTTTGTTCAACTTTGTATTTATGAACATAACTAAAATTATTTTTTTTGTTAAATGTTAGTGCTGCTGTTAACACCTAACTTTATTCTTTGGACTCCCCATTTCTTTAAACTCACACCTAAAAAATTCAATTTTAATGATATTTCCTCATTTGCACACCCTCTCCACCAGCAGTGAACGACGGTCCCTCTCCATCTCTTCAATGTTACTCCTTCATCTCTCTCTCTCAACTTCTTAGGGTTTACTATAGTTTTATACGCATTTGTTTGTCTATGTATATTGATTGATTCGTATGTGCATTTCTTTGAACAGTTGATAGGCTAATTAGCGAGAACAGATTGCCCCACTTGTAACTCTACGGTTCTCAATAGCAACTAGGTTTGTCAATTTTGATAGAATCTGAGAATAGAGTCATCTGGATTTGTCAAAAATATATCCTCCAACATATCAGGTAACCTCTGACTACCCATCTTATGAACACGATTACATCACATTTCCTTTTTTGGTTTATTTCGGGGAAAAACCCTCAGAAAAAACAAAACTAGGGGAAAAACCCTACAAATGGGAATTGTTTGGCATATCAGTGATGAACATAAATAATTTGTTCAACACTGTGTTGCTGAACATAAAGGATTTGTTCAACACTGTTGATTTAAATTGTTGATTTCTTTTGGTGAAATAAAAAATCACATTCGTTAACATAAGATATCAACAGTTTACCGACTTGAACCAACGACTTGAACCCACAGTGACAATGATTTCTGATTAGGGTTTAGGGTGGTAATGAGAAGATGAGGATGAATGATGATGAGAAGATGAACCCACATTGATCGAATGGTAATTTCTTTTGGTGGGGTGGAGGTGGGTGTACAATGTAGAGTGTGATTCTAATTGTCTTTATTTGGTGGGTAAGTATTCCATTAGAGGTTGTCATTTATTGTAATTTTACTTTAAGTTAAAATTGTAATAAAAAAAAAATTACAATTGGAGGGTTCAAAGAATAAAGGTAGGTGTTAAAAATAATTTAATTTAATTATGCATTTATCGCCTTTTTATCATTTTTTTTTTAAATCTGAAATTTAAATTACCTCTATTTTTAATTCCTTAAGAATTTCATTTCTTAAATTTAGTTCAATTCAATAATTTAATTTATTTTTGGTATATTTCTTTTCTTTTTTACAAATAGTAGATGTGTTCAACATTTTACTAAAAACAAATAACATATAAAATTTAATAACATGTTTAACATAATAAACATAAACATATAAGAAGTGCTTAACATAATAAGTCTAAACGAGTTGAAGTTGTGCAGCATGTAAAGCATGAACTTATTAATTTTGTTCAACATAAATATTTCAATCATATTCAATTTGTTCAATTTTATTTTTTTGTATAATAATAATCTATTCAGACAACCAGTGTTGAGCCAAATTCGAAATAGTTGTTGCTATGCAAGTTGAATTGCCAACCAAATAAAAAGCATATGGGAAAAACATATATAGGTGAGAATGAAAGGCATGAATCGTAGATCTTCAACAGAACATTGCACTGGTGAGACAACAACAAAGATGAAAATCGCCAGCCAAATGAATGCCTTCAGCCGAATGAGATCTCTGATGTGTTCGTGAGATGTGTGGGTATGGATGTGGTGTGTACTCGAGCAAAATGGTGTGCTGCCTTTGGGTTAAAAATTGAAAGTTACGGTGTGTGGACTAAGATATTTTCAAAACTTCAAAAAATACTGTGTAGTACTAAGTAATGGTGTCTACTAGGAGGATTAATGGTGTGTAAATAGAACTTCCCTATATATATGTCAACACCAATTTTGGTGTTGAAGCCCATTTGTTAATTATAATTAACGGGTTAATTATCGAACATTAAATTTCAAATTCAATTAATTTAAACGAAGTCCATATTTTCTGAGCAGTTGCCAGTGAGTTAAAAATACCACAAAAATTGAATAGGTAAAATAAAGACAATGAAGGAATAGGTTAAAGAAATGAAAAATACAAATACAAATATTTTTAAAATAAGGTACATATAAAAATAATATGATGCAGTATATTCACGCACACAGTGCGTGACACCCTTCTAGTTATTATAAAATATTAGTCATAGTGGCCTTATGGTAAAATAACTAGAAAGAGGAAATTTGTAAAATTTTCCCCAAGTGCAGAGAATTACCCAAGTAAGGAGATTGGAATAAAACTGTGTTAAACTATCCGGATATATTGATTTTCTGCCTTGGTCCAAGTTGATTGATTTGGGTAGCTTGTATGCCCTTATAGGCGCAGAGCCATAAATAGTGGTCTGGTGAGCTTGACGGAGATAGTGGCCACTATCTCCAGATTAGACCCCTGGACACTGCACTGTTGAAAGTAGTAAGATTTGTGGTTGAGGATGGACTGTGTGAATTAGACAAGTGATCAGTAGGACTTGGGTATGTATTACTATGGCTTGTACACGGTATGTGTTGGTGAGTCCGATATGATGCCCTATTGGCAGTACTAGATGCCCAGTTGGTAGTTAATGTTTTTGGATTTATCCTTGTTATTTGACTTGACTGGTGTGTCAGTAAATAAACAAACCTTAATTAAAAAGTAAATAAATCATCTTTATTATGTGTCACCCAAGCATGTTATTTAGAGTAATAATGTGAGATTATTACTAGTGAGCGTGTGAATAGGTCACCCACAAGCATGAGCGCTTTGTAGACTATCTCATTCCTTTCCTTTTTTGAACATGTTGATTTCGATCATGGGGTAATTGGGCCTACATGCCTTGATTTATTTTCGGATGTACTTCATTGTACATAATTCTGTGGTCTGTAATTTAAACGCTATTTGAATTATTGCATTGAACTATTTCATTTACATTGGCTTGCATGCCACATGAGATTAAGCCATGCACTTGAGAGAATTTCATTTATTTTGGACTAAAAATGTGTTTTCTTAAAAAATTATGAAATTGACACGAAAAATGTGATTTCTTAAAAAATTAAGAAATTGACTCATTTTCCAATGTAAGCTAATTTTATTCGTAATTCACTTATTTTGTCATTTTAAACCAAGAAAATGCCAACAGAGGAAAATGAATCACATCTTTGAAATTAGTAAAATCATCTTTGCATACCCATTTTAAACTCCTATTGAATGGAAACTAAAATGTGCATACATTAGAATTGGAAGTTGTGAATTTGTAAATCTTCTAAAGGGTATACTATAATATATGAATGCATATTGTATTAAATTTAACTCATTTTGATAATTTGAAATTTTGAACTTTTTCAACTTCTCACACAATGAATCTTGGATACATATTTCCTGTAATTCATAATAGCACATGAATCTTTGGATTGTCATAAATCGTGGCATGATCAATAGGTTATCATAGGATCGTAGGTGAAAAGGTAGGGCGCAGACTCACATCTATTGCCATGCAGGCAAGCGTCTTACCTATTACGTTAAGGGGTTCATCATTCAAAACAAGTTTTTTACTGATTTATTTCATATTTATAATATATCTTCAACATCTAACTAATTAGATATATATATATATATATTGCGTATTTTAGAAATTAGAACAGAACCTTACGATTCACAATTTGATTCAATTCAAGATTTGGAAAATAATATCTTGACTCCGATCACAGCATAAATTCCTTAGATTAAGGTATAAATTTGTTTGCAATCAATATTTAACAATTTTATTAAATGAGAATTATTGGGATATTAATATTTTAATGGTTTTTACGTGGTTGGCATGAATTTAGATAATTTATTAAACATATTTATGTAATACTTAAGGCTACGTTTGCTTGAACTATAATTAGTAGAGCATTATCAACTATAAAATTTGCAATAGACAAACAAGGCATTATAATAGGACACCATTGTAGATCTTTTTTTGGAAAATGCTACATATGATCTTATTTCTTACGTATTTTCCTCAGTCCTAAACACAAGTGAGAGGGGCCATGTGCATTTATTGATGTGTGACAAATTGCTTTGTGTCTAGGAGTGAAAAAATGAGGTAAGAAACGTGATTATGTATAGCTTAGCTCCTTTCTTTTTATAATTCTATAAAGAAAATTTAGAGTCAGTAAAATATATGAAAATAAAGTGTGAATAAGAAAATAAAAACAAATAAATAAATAAAAACACCCATATATACATCGATGCCTCTGTATCTTAAATTTATACTGCTATACAAAGTAAATAAATATATATATATATTTTTTCCATCATTTCCCTGTCAAGTCCATACCTTGATTTTTTTCAAAATCGTTGTGTCCCATATCCGTATCTATGCTTCTTAGCTATCATTTATCCAATTACTTTGAAAAATCAATATCCAACTTATTAACATTTAAAGGGAAAAACTTGAAAGCAATTTTTTTTTTTTTTAAATAGATATAGGATAATTTTATGTCAACAATCAAAAGATGGGTTTATGAGGAAAAAAGAAAACCTGAATAAATGAAGTCCTTGCCACTGTAGCTGAAGCCGTGCTTCACGAGTGTTTCACTGTTCACAAACAAGGCAAGATGGTCAAAATCAGATGCCCTTGTAAAAGTAACAGAGTACCCATAAAAGAGGAATAAAGCACCTTATGGCCTCAACTCTGTCTGCATGACCACTTGGTTCCCCAAACGCACTGCCGTAGTGAAACTTACCACTTGAGACTCCAGCTTTACTCCCAAGGAGCTCTATCATCTTCCCTACTGTCATTCGGCTGATGACAACAGATTAAAATCATAAGACTATTAATGCTAAGAAACTAAAACAATATAAGACAAGTTATCAAGTTCTTGAATATAAACAAAAGAATTCTGCTAAATAATAATAATGATATTCTGGTAGGAATGTACAAAAACCCTAATCATCCGATGAAACCGAACAAATCCGAACTGAAAAATTAAGATACGGACAGTTTCATAGCAAACAACAGTCGGCTGCGGGTGTAATGCGTAAAAAAATTCAACTTTTCAGACGGCAGTGGTTTAATATACATGGCAACTGACAAACTGATCCGACTAATATTTATTATAAAAATAGTTTTACATGCATTTTTGTGTTATTGGCAGTTCATATTACACATTATCTCTAAGGCTGCCTGACTTTTTAGCACTTGGTTCTTATAGAGTAGAGTAGGCTATAGTTGAAAGAACTAGAGTAAGCTACAGTTTAAAGGATACTCCATTGTTCCTCTCAAATCTAAAATATCCATCATCTCCTCTCCCCTCACCCCCCAAAACCCCTCTCCTACTTCGACGATTCCGATTTCCAAGCCCATCCATGACTCGATGATGAAGGGCCAAACCCTAGATGGATGGAAATCTGTCAATCAGAAACCACTAACAAAACAGATGAACGCTTATTGAAGTCACAGAAAAGTCATTTTGATTCATTGTGTGTCTTTGTTTCTTTCTCTTTGTTCTGTGCTTTTTTCCTCCCTCACAATCATTCCTTACCCACTTTTATTTTTAATTTTTTGTGATATCTTCTTCCACTTCTGGCTTTGAAACACCTTTCACTTTTTGCTGGTCTTTTGTGTATGTGTTTTGCTGCGATCCGTGCAATTTGACCAAAACCGACAACAAAATGAATTATACAAACAGTCGATTTTGATCACCACATCGGTCAAAAGTGGTTCATTATATTTTTAAACCGCCATAGTCAGGTCAGTAGGTGGGTTGACCAGAAAACCAATCCTATCCGACCCGTAAACAGCCCTAGTCTGGAAAATGTCAAACACAACCGGAAGCAGAAGTAGCATCCCAATAAAATCGTAAAATTTTTTACTGAAAAAAAAAATTGTTCAAAATTGTAGGATTGAATAACTTAAGCCAAAAGCATCAATCTAAACAGTAACAAGATGTACAAATTTAAGCCGGTTTCTTAACATCGTAGTATAACTTTAGTTTACAATACTTGAGGAACATTTCTTGGTTGCAGATATAAAAAGGCGGAAAAAAGGGATAAGAGAGATAAAAAAAAGAAATACTATTCACGAGGTGACAGATAAAAACCACATAAATAAACAGTTTAGTAAAACATCTCTCAGAATTCACCTTGCTGTATGACAAAACCAGAAAATATAGGGCTCTTCATGAACCTCAAGAATTTCATTGATTCCCCAACACCAAATTTTACTGTCGGTTCATCAAATACCTCCTCATCTTTGTAACCACCCATAAATCTTGCAGTATTAAAGATGTTTATAGCGTATTGAACTTGTCCTGGAACCATCCTCGCTTATCCCATATTCTTTCTAACCAACAAATTTTCCTCCTCATGAACTATCCCTATCTTATTTGATCATTCAAAACCATTAAAAATGTATCATCAAAACATTCCTCATACTTAAAACATGTAATGACCCAACAGAAACGTATACTTTTTTCATTGTTTGTCTCCTCACTGAACAAAGTCTGTTAGAAAGGTAATCATAATAAGTAGCCATGTACAATCACAACTACAATTCAAAGAGACTATACAGTATCAATATAGCATTGTACTTCAGCTAAGAAGCACAGACACAGATAAGGATGCAGATGCAGACACGGCGATTTCAAAAATATAGGGACAGGGGCACGGGCACGGGCACGGTGGGGACACGACAATAAAATATGTTTTCATATATTTTTATTTGCTATCTAGATTAATATTACATCCACAAACAATCAATATGAACAAAAACTAGCTCTAATTCTTTTTTCTTTTTTTTTAAAGCACTTTTAAATTAACACTTTCAATTTATATCTTTTTTATGGGTGATCTATTAAGTATTAAATCTAAGAAAAAAAGAATAAACATTCGACATTCATCAAAAACACTAAATAAAATGGGAGAAAAGATAACTTGACATGTCCCTAGTGTGTCCCCGACATGTTCCCTGAAAATAAATTAATTAAATAAGAGGACAAGCCATGTGGTGTGTTCCATACGTGTCCCTGAAGTGTCTGTGTGTCCAACACGGATACGGCACTTGTTTTAAAGTGTCAAGTGCTTCACGGTACTTCAGTATTTCAAATATTTCTTTCAAATTATATGAGCCTCATTCCCATGCTGCATCAAATTGGCTTTTGTCCCATAATAGAAATTCCTATGTCTAAAACTTCCAAGTTAAAAAAATTCAAAATTTGCAGATCAATCAAATTAAGAAATTACAAAATTTATTATTAGAACCAAATGAGATTACCTTGGAAACCCATGAGGGTTCATAATCAGATCAGGACAGATACCACGTTCGGAAAATGGGAAATCTTCTTGTTGGATAATAGTGCCACAAACACCTTTCTGCCCATGTCTGCTACTAAATTTGTCACCAACCTGAGTAAAACAAATTTTCTAGTAGGGAAAACAAGAAAAACAACAATTCTAAATTTCATGTTCCATGACAAAGCTAAAATAGAATTCTTTACCTCTGGCCTACGAGTGTGGCGGATCATAAATTTTATACATAAATTATTATTCTTATCAGAGCAGAGAGCTACTCTGTCCACCACTGCTGTTTCCCCTTCAGGACCTTTGTATGTTTGTCGGCTGGGCTTATACTGCCTGGATGTTGCTATGCCAGTAAGCTTTGTTGTTACGAACAGAATAACTAAACATTCTATATGAAAGAAAAAATACTGACTTATCATTCAATCCCATTGGTGGTACAATTGCCCCCCTAGTAACAATTGGTGACTGCTTATTGATGTAGATGTCATTCGGTCTAATTATTTCTCCAGGAGCAGCTAGTCCATCGTCATCCAGTATCTACATAAGTGGGAACATTTGCAACCATGTAGAACCAATAAATATTTTTCAATCTGATGTTTGATTAACATTGGAAATTTATATAGGTTAAATGCATGAATTTCATTTCACAAAATGAATACAGAAACTAAGGACAATGTCGACAAAAATAGAAGCTCCCTACTAACCAGTCCAATCCCAACTTCCTTTGTGTAATTCACCAAGGACAATAGAACTGGTACGGTTAGCACACCTCCTCACAAATCATAAGAACTAATTAGGGCTGTCTTGTTGACCTGGTTATTTTAAGATCGTGGTTATTTACAGATCCAACTAGTTCTGAAGTAATTTTCTAAACAACAATTACACCAAAACACAAACCAGCATACATCTGCAGTAAAGAGGTTCTGTTCTGTCACATAGCTACTCTGGTTTTAGTGACTGTTATGCAGAAAGCCTCCAGCTTTCCATCCATTTCTTCTGAGAATAAGTCTTAATTTCCCTCCCATTAGGTCCTCTTTAATTATCTATCCAAAATTCATTTTCTCATATTTTAACTTCCTTCTTTTTTAAGAACAATAGGCCTTGATATTTTTCATCCATCTTGTGCTTAAATTTTAACCAAGGATTTAAAAAGAGGCTGCAACCGTTACGTAATGGTTGTCGTACTGCCACTCGTTACGGCCACTTTAGTGGTGTGATAGAAATTCACACGTGTAACAGCCGTTTTGGTGTTATGTAATGGCCATAGCGGTACCGTAACGGTCTGTTACACACCGTTACACAATTTTACAATATTCTAAATAGCTTCATGTCCCCAACAAAATAAAAACAAAACAAAACAAAACAAAACAAAAGCTTACCAAAAAAAAAAAAACAAATATTCAAGTGATTTAAGCCCAAAGAAAAAATCTTATATGATTTTTTTTAATTTTATTTTTTATTTTTTATTTCATTACATTAGCATATAAAATAAAATATATATAAATATTGATTGTATTTATTTTTATAATCATTTTATTTAATATTTAATTGTAAATATTTTTTATTTTGTTACTGTAATATGTTGTCTAAAAAATGTCTTTAAAAAGAATAAATAAAATCAATAGCTCAAAAATAATTTTTTTTATGGCACAATTTTTATTTTTACAATCATTTCATTGAATACTTATTGTAAATATTTTATTTACTTAGCTGTAAAGTGTTGTCTAAAAAAGTGCCTCAAAAATAATTTTTGTTCAGGGCACAATTTTTATTTTTATAATCATTTCATTTAATAATTGTGAATATTTTTTATTCAGTTAGCTCATGTATTGGTCAAAAATAATTTGTAGACATTTAAAATCAATTATTCTTAAAGTCATTAATTATTGAAATAAAATATTAAAGCTCCTTTTATGGTGATTTTAAAAATAAAAAATATATTGGATCATATTTAAAACTAACAAAAATTGATCAAAATCTATTTTGAACCCCAATAAATGTGATTCTGAAAAAATATATATATACATGTGTATCAGTAAGTTTTTTTAAATTGCCCGAAAAATTTTAAAAAAAATTACAGTTCCAGTTACCGCAACCATTGTGCTACAGCCTTTACACCTCGCAACCGCAACCATACCACCGCAACCGCTTTTCGAACCTTGATTTGAGCTAATTTATTTTGACATAGATGACTGTGTATTAAAATTATTGTATTACCAAAATAAATCACAATAGGTCAAGTTTGCAAGAAGTCCTAAAGACAGTTTTCTCTAACAATTTTTTACTGGACCTTATTTCCATGCTTGGTATGCATCCCAACCCCAAACTCCACCCCTTCACTACAACTTTGATTAGAAATATTGATAGATATAAAATTGGAAGTAGGTATGAGATATTGCCACGTGTCATAAATAAATAAAAATTTCAAAAAAAAATGTCTGTTCATCTCTTTAATGGAGATAGATGGATAGTTTAAATTGTTATCAAATCAAATGGCCAGGGCTTAAATTGAAGAAATTAAAAACTAAGGGTTTAGTTTGTTACAAGGGTGAAACCCTAGGGTTTGTTTTGTAGTAACCCCTACATTTTATGTTCATTAATTACTTCAAGCATCAGTGTATTATGCAAAACGATTATTTAACAGCAATTTTATGCTATTTTTACCGCAAAATAATATATATATACATATAATAACAAAACCACTAATTATTGTTCGTTTATAAAATTAAAACAACCTATTATCTATATTAACTATTTAAAAACAAAAACAATTGAATTTCAATAATAAACTATGTTAAAGAGGCTGAGTTGGGTCTGAATGATTTCAATGGGGTTGGAACATTTAAAACTAACCCAACCCAATGCCTTCCAAAAGTCCTGCCAAACTTGCCTTACCGAACCAAACCACACTGAACCTTGTGTTCCAATTAGATGGGGCCAGTTATATGATGTTTTGACTTATATTCATTATTTGAGGGGGGGAAAAATTCTATTGCAGGGATTCACTACCAATATATTCATGCATGTGTAGTGCGTGCATGGATATATTACCTGCATCCTCTCTGCATCATGCCCCTCTCTTTGGGGTCGAATTATTCGGTCGGATGAATTATTCTCATACTTCTGATTTATAGCAGACAACCTGTTCAAAAAGAATCTCAAATGGACATCAGAAAATATCTTAACCACATATGTCTAGCAAGTAATGTGACGTAGGCATGTGAAATTGCAACTAAGAGAGAGAGAAAAAAAAAATTTAAATACTTTTTCATTACGATACAACGACCAAAGCCACGATCCAAAGATGCTTTATTCATCACTATTGCATCCTCTATATCATAACCACTATAACTCATAACAGCCACAGTCGCATTCTGGCCTGCTCCAAGTTTATCATATCCAACCTGCAAAGACAATTTTCAATTCAGTTACCATAACTGAATAAACATATGCAAGAATTCAATATACTAACCAGCTCAATTGTTCTTGTCGTCAGTAGTGGCCGTTGAGGATACACTAGAAGGTAGATTAGTGTGTCCATCCGACACAACTACAACATGAAAGATATTGATCATATTAGTCACATGGAAATCATGTTCTGCAACAGTACATGACATGATCTGACTGGGTGAAGAAAATTAAACAATAGGTGAGGAAGAGGGATGGGGAAGATGGGTAACAATATGCAAGGAATGATGCAAACAACCCCATACAGTAGCCTAAAATCCAAACACGTAACACCAATATCAATAATAACTTGCACCCCAACTATACATAGAAAAGAACTAGCAACAGAGAGTAGTTATGCAAATACAGATTAACCAAGTCCAACTTGACAAGCTGTTTGTGGAAAGCCATGTATCTCAAAGTATTCGGTATTTTAGTGATTGAAAAAGTAAAGTTGCAGAGTGTGTTGCCACTAGTTGGTATGCTCTCTCTAAATTACGTCATCAAATTTATCTTCTCGTGTAATCAAACCCAAACTATCAATAACATCTGGTTAAAAAGGTATGCAGGAAGAGAGAAGATAACAATGATGACAGAGTCTATAAACCATAATTGTCAAATCGCATTAGATCAATTGTTGAAGTACTCCTTGAATCAACTGTGCTATCCCAGAATATCTGTAGTTACTATGGAAACCAAGCACGCAAGATATAGAGTAACCATGTCCAACTTGACAACCTGTGTATGGAAAGCCACTGACCTCAAAGTATTTTGTCATTTTAGTCATTGAAAAAGTTGACTGCACAGCTGAATCACCACTAGTTTGAATATCTGTAGTTACTATGGAAACCAAGCACGCAAGATATAGAGTAACCATGTCCGACTTGACAACCTGTGTACGGAAAGCCACTGACCGCAAAGTATTTTGTCATTTTAGTCATTGAAAAAAGAAGGCTGCACAGCTGAATCACCACTAGCTTGAATAGGGTATGCATTTTCTCTTTTAGGTCATCAAAGTTATCTTCTCATGTAATCAAACCCAAACTATCCAAAACTTCTGGTTAAAAAGATACGAACACAGAAGATGACAATGATGACAGTGTAAAATAAACCTTATTGTCATGTATTGCATTAGATCATTGTTTGGGTACACCTCTTGAATCCACTGTGCTATCCCATAATATCTATAGTTACATATCAAACTATTTGCAAAGACATTCGAATCAGACAACCTATAGTAAAAAATTATAACTCAAGAAGGGAAGGATACCATGTAATATAACATTTCTATAAGCAACTTCAACACATAATCTCGTGGAAAGAAAAAACAAATATAGCCTACAGGCCCTAAACTATTGGATATGACCACTTGCCTGATTATATGCGATATTACCCATTGCTTGCTTTCCCATAGCACACTGCAAAGGAAATATGGAAACGAAAAGAGTGTAAATTCCCATTCATTGCCATAAATAATCCAATACATCAAAGAAAACAAACACGGACCTGATAGGTATTTCTCGGTGATTGGTTATGATGAGGAAAAGGAATTAGCCCTGCACAAACACCTAAGATGGTGAAAGGCTCTATTTCAATATGGGTTGTTTCAAATGTGGCCTCTCCTTCATATAAGGCAATCTGTTAGAGATATATTATGCAATATGAGTTGCTGTCAATGAAGTTTAAGGTCACAAAAAAATGCCATTTCAGAAATTATTGGAATGGAACAAACCAAAGCATTATTCTCCTCATTAACATCAAGATACTCTATCAAGCCCTCACGTAAAAAATCATCAAAACAGCGAACTCCATCCTTCAAAAAAACAAATGTCCAATTAGGTGAGAAGAAACCAAAATATTATAAATAAAACCATGTGACACAATTACCAACAACTCCTTCATATGGTGTTCCTTGATTCTTGATACACCGTTGTCAGCAATAACGAGTGGACGACAAACACGCCCTCCATCTGAAGCAATGTAAACACAATGCTGCAAAACATTTTTAAAGTGTTAGCAGTCCTCATACATCATTAATAAACAGAGAATGTTGCAAGAGCACGAAACAAAGTACAAAGAAAGGAACACGACAAGTTACAAATTCAGGCACTACCACTATCAGTGGAAGTGACATGATAACAAAAGAAATATTTATTTAAATCAGAAGACAAACATTCTTCGAAAAGAAGAGGAGGAGGGAGAGAGTACAAACCCAACCTCTTGCCTTAGTTGAACAAAGTGGCTCCCCACTAACATGACTATTAGAAAGCCCAACCATTTAATAGTGCACTAGTAACACTACCCACACATTAATGAAACAAGTAGGCAATATATACAAAATTTGCAATAAATGTTCAAGACAGTCAATTTGTATGCCTTAAGAACATAATTACGAATTCCAATACAACTTCCATACGTAGTATAAGATTTCCAAAGAAATACTCCAATTCTCAAAGGTCATGGGTTCAAGTCTTTGCATGTGTATTTGTTCCCCCCATTTGTTTTTCTATTTGTACACTATTCTAATTATGCATGATTATGTTTTCTAATCTATCTATTTGAGTCCGACACTCACACATGCAAGTGAGGATGACAAGTAAGGGTTGATGTGAGATTCAACACACATTATTGGGCCCATTCTCAATCAGATTAAACTTGTTGGGGCAACTCGTTGTCCAACTATTTTTACTCAATTTAGGATTATTAAAGTACTAAAAATTTTTAAAATCACACATAAAAGAGATTCATTTCCAGCTATCAATAAATGAAAACCAATGTAAACGTTACTTCTTAGAAAGACAGATTTTATCCTTAGACAGCCCAACCATTACACTAGTAACACTACCCACACAGATTTTGCAACTATTGTTCAAGACTATCAATTTTGTATACCTTAAAAACATATTAAGAATTTCAATACAACTTCCATACTTGAATTAAACTTCTGTCTTTAGAAATGTAATAAATATATGATTCCAAAGAAATACTCTAGTTCTAAAAAGTCATAGGTTTAAATCTCTGCATGAGTATTCGTTCCCCTCTGTTGTTTCTCTATTTCTATGCTGTTTTGATTACACATGACTGTTTTCTAATCTACCTATTTGAGTCCGAGATTGGGGGTGTTTGTGCTTCTGGCTTTTAAAAAGTTATTTTAGACTGTTTGATTAAACTTATTTCAAACAACTTCTGATTCTAACAACTTATTTTAAGTCAAAAAAGTTGATTCTGATAAACTGCTCACCCCTTGCTTCTGATTATCAGCTTCTACTATGGACATATTAATTCACGGTTATACTATTAAATTTTTTTTATTTTTTATTTTTTTAAAAATAGAAAAAGACCCAAATAGACTATAAAATATTATTATTATTATTTATGAGAAATGTAGACAAATAGTGAATAATAAAAAAAAAAAGTTAATTGAAAAAGTTACTTCACAGCTTATTTAACAAACACTCCTTGCTTCTGATTATCAGCTTCTACTATGGACATATTAATTCACGGTTATACTCTTAGATTTTTTTTATTTTTTATTTTTTTAAAAATAGAAAAAGACCCAAATAGACTATAAAATATTATTATTATTATTTATGAGAAATGTAGACAAATAGTGAATAATAAAAAAAAAAAAGTTAATTGAAAAAGTTACTTCACAGCTTATTTAACAAACACTACTCAGCAACTTAAATCTATAATCCAACAGTTATACCAAATAGATTAACAGCTTCTGATTAAAGTCATAATCTATAATCTATTAACCTATAATCTATAATCTGTTTTAACAGTTACACCAAACAGGACCATTCACACATGCAAGTAAGAATAGCAAGCAAGGGTTGACGTGAAATTTAATATACATTATTGGGGCCATTCTCAATCAGATTAAACTTTTTGGGGCAACTCGTTGTCCAACTATTTTTAGTCAATTACAATTATTGAAGTACTAATCCTTAAAATCACACATAAAAAAGATTCATTTCCAGCTATCAATAACTGAAAACCAATGTAAAAGTTACTTCTTATACTAAAATTATCTTTGAAAGTGTAATAAAATTCACTAAATATCATCAAAAACATAAATATATAATATTTTGGGATTTAAAACAAGTGTACTAGTACTGCTGTGCCGTACTACTATCTAGAAGAGTCATACAACCAAACAAATTAATCAAAACTGTGGTGCAGCATCTTTGAGATATTCTACACCCTAGGTTCATCATCTTTAGACTGCATTTTAAAACTTTGTCATGTGCACATCCCCTGATTGCAAATGATTTACAACAAAAAAAACACAATCCAACATTCAAATAGTACCACAGTTCCAAACATCATTAAGATGAATGGAATTTCAAACCATTTCAAAAGCATGGAAAAAGTTTAATTTCAGTGGAGAGATTATTGATTGATATTTTTAATGCAAACAAATCATTAAGGGTAACAAAATGTGCGAAGAGTAGAAAATAATGAATAAAAGAGCTTACTTGCTTCTCATTGACAAATACACTAACAAACTCGCCAATTTTACCAGCTCTTCGCAACTTTCTCATCGCATTAGCAAAACGCTGACAGGAAATGAATTATACAAAGTGTGGAGTGAAAAACGTGTAGAAATATAATGTAGAAACACAAAATGAGCATGCCTACACATAAAGTAATACATACCTGTGGCCTCCTATGCTTACCAAGAATAATCCCATTTAATATAATCAAAAATGAATCTGGTGTATGGAGTTCTTCTCCAGAAAGCAGCTCCAAATCTTCAACTCCCAAACAATAGCACTGGCAACCATTTCATATTGTTATTAGTATGTCACAAGAAAGAAAGGAAAGGAAAAGGAGAAAAATGGAACAATCTAGACGTCCCAAACTAACACAGATTTGGAGAGTTATAGGTAAAATAATGGGAGAGGGTGCACAATTATTTTTAGGATTGATTCTAAAGTAAACAGGGCCCATAACTACAATATATATATATATATATAAGAACCGCTTAACTGCTTGAGGCTCGTCTTTTCTTTTCGATTTTGCCCTTTCGTTTTGAATAATTTACTAATGGTGACTTAAAACAATATTTTAGGATTGATTCCAAGCCTATTCTAATCATTTGCCATCTATAAAACAAATTATCTTTTTTCCATCTTGCACACGTATATTTACTCAATGAATGATTGCATCAATGCAGTCGTGAATGAAGTAGAACATATTAAACATCCAAAACTCCATGACTAATTACATCAACACAGTCATGAATGAAGTAGAACATGCAAAACATCCAGATTTAAGGTACAATTTATCTTATCTTCAAGGAGACTTCTATATAGAGAAGATTCCAAAAGCTCAACTAACTTTCAAACCTTCCCATGTTTGTCTTGGATTAATATTTCCCAAGTACACATGGCATTTCAAATAGATAAGAACACATCAGTCACAACAAATGTGATTCTAACAACATAAATATGGCTTCACTAGACTTTGATGCGATTTTAGAGGCAGAAAGTGTACCAGAGAAACTATCGGGCCTTCCTCTTCATCAGTTGTAACATGAGTCATCAAAGCAAGGTTTTTCACCAATCCACAAGCTTCACCTTCTGGAGTATCACAAGGACAAAGCATGCCCCACTGTGATTCAAGAAATTAAACAGTAAAACATAAGTATAAATAAAGAAACAGACAAGAGTTAACCAAGTAAATTCTAAGAAATCATATAAAAAATGAGCTAACCGTAAAAACTTTATTGGCTAGATCGGCTCATCAGAATTACCTGGCTAGGTTGCAACGCTCTAGGTCCACTAACTTTCCTAGACTTCTCAAATTGTGGTGAGATCTTTGTCATGTGACCTAATGTCCCTATAAAAGATAATCTAGCTACCACCTGTAAAAAGAGGACTCACCTTTAGCCTAGACAATCTCGTGAATAAAAACCAAACAAAGACAATATGAAATCTGATCATATATAATAAATTAAGCACCTGTGTCATTCCTTTCCTGTGCATCTTGAACCTCTTGACATCCCAGTTACCAGTAGAAAGTGTCCTTTCTAACCCAACAGTAATACTATCTTTCACTATAAACTGAAAGCAGAAAGGAGAGGGAAAGGAGCATCAGTTACGATAACCATTTCAGAAATGATTTACACATTAGATTGTAAAATTTTAAAATAGAATGATGACAAAACCAAATGTCAATTCAAAACAGTAATGTTATACACAAACAGGTTTCTCACCAAATTTTCTTACCACTAGATACAAAGGTAGTGGGTCCATACTAATAAATAAAGAGGAAATATCATTTTCCCCCCCAAACTTTTATGCATTTTTCAATTTGATCCCTAGATTTCAATTAATATCAATTTCACACCCAAACTTTTAAAATTTTGATCAATTTGGCCCATGCCGTCACATTCTGTCTACAATTGGACGGAATGTGCTGACACGGCATCAAAGTTCATTAGAAATTTCATTTTACCTCCCAAACAATACCTTAAAAATCAATTTGCCCCCCAAACTATACCTTAAAAATCAATTTGACCCCCACATCAATACATTCCATCCAATTGTAGACGAAATGTGATGACAGGGGTCAAATTGATCCAAATTTTAAAAGTTTGGATGTACAATTGATATTAATCGAAGTCTGAGAGTCAAATTGAAAAACACGTGAAAATTTGGGAGGCGAAATGATATTTTCTCTACATGTGGGACACATGCCTTTATGTCTAGTGGTAAAACAGTCAAGTAAGAAATCCCTTTACGTGTAACATTGTCCCTAAAAATGATTGACATCATTAGCAATTCTTGACATTTATCTCAACCCATAGTAGTTCATATAGAAGACATTAACAATAGATAAAATATTTTGAGCAAAACATTTGTGTAATTTAGTCACCACTTATCAACATGCAGTGTGAAACCCATTGCAGGGGAAACAAATACTCTAAGTTGAAGCAGTCTAGCAAGAGAATGAACATTCAAAACCCTTATGTTAATGTTTCCTAGTTATAAGAATCTAAGAAGCATGGACATATAAATGTGACACGACATAGAGTAGCCAATATGAAAATGTTCAAAAAAACATCGACACAACACGTGGAGACCACACATAAAATACATAATTTTATATATTTATTAAAGTGGATAAGAAGGACAAGCAATTATTATATTTCATATATATGAATATTTTATTCAAAGATTTTAAAGTCTAAGGAGAAGAACTGATACAAATTTACGTTGTTTTTTTTATCATTGGATTCCAAATTATTTTTATTTGAACTTTTTTTTTTTTTTGGGGGATAAATAAATTAATTTTATTCAAACTTGTAACGTATTTCATCTGTTTTCAAGTGATAAACACAAGTTTCCCAGGTGTCTCAAGCATGTCCAAGTCTAAAAAATTTTAAATAAACATTATGAACATTGGATCAAAAGGGTATTCTAAATCTCTTGCCTCTCTATCATTTAGATTTTTTTTAAAATAAAACAAGTACAAAAAGCAATAGAAGCATTGTGCAAATGGGATATACAAAAGTGGGAACAAATAACCAAAAGAGGCATCAACTATCCAAACATCCTCCCGAAAATGACTTTACTATTCCCAACCCTAAAACAAGCAAACTAAGAGATATAAGCAATTCCCTGAGAAATTAACTTCCATGGATAACACAAATTGCCCCTATATACCTCATAAGAATCCCAACCATTAGGTTGAATCCCATGCTTGCTCTTAATCACACCATGACATAAAGCATAAGTAGCCGTTTTGTAATTCCAAACAAGATGACGCGTTGCGCCTGCCTCCGGGATTCCGAAAAGTGAGCAAGGGGCGCAACATTGACGCCTGGGTGCAGTGAAAAATGGGCAAAGGTTCTCATGTTTTTCTGGACGAGCGCGGGTAAAGAAACTAGTCCAAGACTATAGGTTTAGGATAGCTACTTGGAATATAAGAACCTTAAATGGTAAGACAATGGAGTTGGTAGATGTTATGATTAGGAGGAGAGTTAGTATAGCTTACGTACAAGAAACTAAGTGGACGGGTAAGAAAGCTAGGAAAATTGAGGATACCAGTTTTAAACTGTATTATAATGGTAAGGATAAACGCAGGAATGGGATAGGAACCTTAATTGCCAAGGGTCTTGTGAAGAATATAGTAGCAGTCATTAGAAAAGGGGATAGGATTTGGTGACAGAAATGAGGCTGGAGAGAGTATTTTAAATTTTTCATTGGCTTCTGACCTGGTGGTGGCCAATACTATGTATAAGAAGAGGGATGAGCATTTAATAACCTTTAAAAGTGGGTTAGTTAAGAGCCAAATAGATTACTTCTTAGTGAGAAAAGTGAACTGCCTAAAATGCAATGATTGTAAGGTGATTCCTAGACAGAGCCTAACCTCTCAACATAGGATTTTGGTACTAGATTTATGTTTTAGAGGGCAATACCAAGTTAGGAAGGATGGTGGGCGTCGGAGGACGAGATGGTGGGACTTAAAAGGGGATAAACTAGAAATATCCTGGTCAATCATGAAACAGGTTTTTTCGTAATTACGCAAACATTCTTGGTCAATTATACAACAAATTTCCCGTAATTACATAAACATTCCTGGTCAATCATGAAACAGGTTTTTTCGTAATTACGCAAACATTCTTGGTCAATTATACAACAAATTTCCCGTAATTACATAAACATTCCTGGTCAATCATGAAACAGGTTTTTTCGTAATTACGCAAACATTCTTGGTCAATTATACAACAAATTTCCCGTAATTACATAAACATTCCTGGTCAATCATGAAACATTTTTTTTCGTAATTACGCAAACATTCTTGGTCAATTATACAACAAATTTCCCGTAATTACATAAACATTCCTGGTCAATCATGAAACAGGTTTTTTCGTAATTACGCAAACATTCTTGGTCAATTATGAAACATAAATTTTTTATTTTTTAACAAATTACAAATACACCCATAAAGTTTGTTTAAAATATGAATAGGTCCTATAATACTAGAAATTATAACTACCGTTTGTTTTAAATTTTCATTTAACACATTACTCAAGAGGAGGGGGGGAGACCAGTTCTCCTATGCAATAATAAATTGTCAAAATTGTTTATTGAAAAATATTTATCAGATCATTAAAAATTGTTAATTAACTTAGTGATTTATTTATTAAGAAAATGGTAAACTGCTATTTTTCATCTCATTACAAATTGCTAATTTACTTATTAATAAAATTGGTCATTTGTTATGTAAGTATGATTAATGTATTAATAAAATTAGTTATTTGTATATATATGTATTTTCTTTTGCTTCTTTATTAGTTCAGTGAATTATCTTAGTAATTTTTTTTTAGATGGAAAAATTATCTTAATATTTGTTTTCTATTTATCTGTTGAGAAAAGCAACACAGCATAATTTTTTTCCCCATAAATTCGGAAGAAATGTTAAAGACTCATAAATTTACCCAAAATGATATGGTAATAGAATCGGAGTCTACATCATTGGGTGTATAACAAATCAAAAAATGATACATATCATACGACATAATTCTATTATATATCTAATGATTTATTCTATTCAAATTCATAGAACAATATTTAAATTTTTTAAAAATTATCAAAATACAAAACTTAAATATACTGTAATAACAACCCGTGCCTTGTACGGGCCTTCTTAAACTAGAATATATATATATATATAAGAAAATAAATCTGGAAACACCCTCTCCAAAACCCAACTACACAACCGATTCTTCAAAATAGACACAAGGGTCACCACTCCTTGGAAGATTCGGTGGTCCCACTCTATCCAAATAAGCCACATTAAACACAAAGGCAATAGATCCCAAGCCTTTTAATGCCTTTTCCCAACCAAACCCCGTTTCCAAACTCCAAAGGACACCCTCTGCATGCCCCTGCTGCACCCGTGCCATCTCAAACACCGAGAAAATCAACCTCCAGAATTGAGATGCCACTGGACAATGAAGTAACAAGTGAGAAGTAGACTCTACATTCCCACAGCACATACTAGACTAATTCACCAAAATCTGCCCACACCGAATAAGATTATCCAATGTCAAAATCCTATCCAGCCATGTCGCCCACACAAAGAACACCACTTTGGACGGCACTCCAACAACCCACACCACCTATCTTTCTAGAACCACACCCTTCCGTTTCCCTGCTTGAAAACTGACCCACCTCCCAAACTTCATTTTTTCCAATAAAATACCTTTGCACAAACCCCTTCTATGACTAGCCACCACCTCCCTTGAGCAACACTCACCCCACCCAACCCTATACTTCGCCCCCCACCACCTGTCACCAAAACCACTCCTTCCCAACAAATCTCCATAGCCACTTCCCTAACAATGTCCCATTAAACAACACCAACTTTCACAACCCCAATGCCACCACCTCTTTAGGACTACAAACCATACCCAATCTACTAAGTCATACTTAAACCCATCCCCCCAACCACCCCAAAGAAAATATATTTGTAACCTTTCCAAATGACAAGCAAGCGACACTAGAATAACATGCACTGACATAAAAAAAGTTGGAATGCTCGCCAATGTGCTCTTAATTAGAGTCAACTTCCTCTCGATAGGCAAAGATTGCCCCTTCCACCCTACCAAACATCGTTCGACCCGGTCTATTTATCCAAAAAAAATAAAAAAAACATCATTGGACTCGGTTTACCACCCCATCCCATACCTTTGTTGCCTTAAAAGTAGATCCTAGAGGCAACCCCAAATAGGACACATGTAACATAGAAACCTTGCACCCAAGAATAGCCGCCAGTCGAGAAAGCTGGCACGCTTCCCCCCACAGGGATCAATTCAAACTTTGCCAAATTTAGACTAAGCCCAAGCATTGCCTCAAAACACAAGAAGACACGACACAAATGGCCCAATGGGTCCTCTCAGCCCCACAAAACGCATCGTCAACCTACAACAAATGGGAATTTTTTGTGTGTATTATATTCCATAACTAGTACTTGGTACCAGTGTTATTAAAGGCGATAGACGCACCAAGGCGCCAAGGTCTCCTGGGCCTTAGGCTTAAGGTGCAAGGCAAGGTGCACGCTTCACCGAAGTGAGGCGCACCTTGTACGGGAAAAAATATATATAATTTAATATAAATAAATTGTTTATGGTTCAACATAAGCAAAATGAAATGTTAAACATATAGTATTTTTCAGAAATTAGGAATTAGGGCTAATTTTTCTTCTATCATTGATTTGGAGTTGAATGCCCAATGTATTGGCATCTGTAATAAGAGTAGGAATCTTCTGACCATATTAAATCAATGGTTAGATTTTAAACAAAATCAATTAAATTAACAATAAAAAAAGCCCTCAAGATGCAAGCCTTGGGCCTTATTGTGCCTAGGACCAGTCAAGCACCTTATCGAAGTCACTTGGCCTCGAACACTACAAGGTGCAAACCTAGATGGGACTTGGGCCAAGGCGCACACCTAGGCGCGCTTTATTGAAGTCGCCTGGCCTGGAACACTACAAGGAGCAAACCTTGGGCCTGGATGGGACTTGGGCCTAGGGAGCACGCCCAGGCGCACCTTTAATAACACTGCTTGGTACTTCTATTGTATTTATATATTTTACTATATTCTAAAACCATGTCCCTTGGCTTTAGAGAGTTGACCTTTTAAGTAGGAACTAATCCATTTAGATTCGAGAATGTGTCTAGAACACCATTTGTTGAAGCATTATTTTGAGCATTGCTAGAGTTGTTGTAGATCTCAGGGTAGGAAGGCTTCACGTCCATAAACCAGTTAACTAATCTTTTTTATTACTTTTTTCTCTTCTATTTTTTTTTTTTCCCCCCCAAAAGTAGGAGTGAAGCAATTCCCGTAAACATAAGGAACCCAATCCAAGCCTATTCTAACCATTTGCCATCTATAAAACAAATTATCTTTTTTCCATCTTGCACACGTATATTTACTCAATGAATGATTGCATCAATGCAGTCGTGAATGAAGTAGAACATATTAAACATCCAAAACTCCATGACTAATTACATCAACACAGTCGTGAATGAAGTAGAACATGCAAAACATCCAGATTTAAGGTACAATTTATCTTATCTTCAAGGAGACTTCTATATAGAGAAGATTCCAAAAGCTCAACTAACTTTCAAACCTTCCCATGTTTGTCTTGGATTAATATTTCCCAAGTACACATGGCATTTCAAATAGATAAGAACACATCAGTCACAACAAATGTGATTCTAACAACATAAATATGGCTTCACTAGACTTTGATGCGATTTTAGAGGCAGAAAGTGTACCAGAGAAACTATCGGGCCTTCCTCTTCATCAGTTGTAACATGAGTCATCAAAGCAAGGTTTTTCACCAATCCACAAGCTTCACCTTCTGGAGTATCACAAGGACAAAGCATGCCCCACTGTGATTCAAGAAATTAAACAGTAAAACATAAGTATAAATAAAGAAACAGACAAGAGTTAACCAAGTAAATTCTAAGAAATCATATAAAAAATGAGCTAACCGTAAAAACTTTATTGGCTAGATCGGCTCATCAGAATTACCTGGCTAGGTTGCAACGCTCTAGGTCCACTAACTTTCCTAGACTTCTCAAATTGTGGTGAGATCTTTGTCATGTGACCTAATGTCCCTATAAAAGATAATCTAGCTACCACCTGTAAAAAGAGGACTCACCTTTAGCCTAGACAATCTCGTGAATAAAAACCAAACAAAGACAATATGAAATCTGATCATATATAATAAATTAAGCACCTGTGTCAGAAGAACTATTTTGAGAAACTATTAAATGAGGAACATGGAGGTACGACAATAGAGGAAGAAATAGCCAGTAATACGATAAACCAAGACTACAGGTTCTATCGCAGGATTAGGAACTTTGAAGTGAAATTTGCACTTGAGAAGATGAAATCAAATAAGGCTTTAAGACCAAATGATATCCCTATTGAAGCTTGGAAGTGTTTGGGTAAAAAGGGAGTTGCTTGGTTGACTAGGCTGTTTAGCAAAATTTTGTTGACTAGGAACATGCCAGATGAATGGAGGAAGAGTATTTTAATGTCAATCTATAAGAATAAAGGAGATGTCCAGAATAGTAACAACTATAGAGGAATCAAGCTAATGTGTCATAATGAAAGTGTGGGAGATGGTGATAAAACGCCGATTGCGAGATATAACAGAGGTGTCAGAGAATCAATTTGGACTTACGCCAAGCAGGTCAACAATGGAAGCGATCTATCTTTTGAGGAGAGTAATAGAAAAGTATAGAAAAAGAAAAGAGACATTCATATGGTGTTTATCGACCTTGAGAAAACATATGATAGCGTGCCCCGGAAAATAATATGGTGGGTGTTAGCGATGAAAGGGGTGACAAAAGGTTACATTGATGTGATTAGAAACATGTATAAATGGGTGATGACCACTATTAGATCACCTGCTAGAGAGACAAATAAATTTCCTATCATTGTAGGGTTACACCAAGGATCTACATTAAGTCCTTAACTTTTTGCTTTAGTTATGGATGAGTTAACGAGAAATATCCAGGATGACGTGCCATGGTTTATGCTTTTTGCAGACGATATAGTGCTAGTAGATGAGACTAGAAAAGGAGTTAATACAAAGTTGGAGATTTTGAGAAAAGCTCTTAAATCTAAAGGATTCCAGATAAGCAGAACTAAGACAGAGTACATGGAGTATAAATTTAGTAATAGTAACAATGAAAGCAGAGGAGAAGTGAAGATTGAAAACCAAGAACTGCCTAAGAGTGAACATTTTCGTTATTTAGGGTTGATTATCACAACAGCAGGGGAGATTGATGCGAATGTGGCCCATAGGATTAAGGCGGAATGGTATAAGTGGAGAAGTACGTCTGGGGTACTGTGCGATAAACGAATACCCACTAGACTTAAAGGTAAGTTCTATAGAACGGCTATTAAACCATCGATGTTGTATGGGATGGAGTGTTGAGCAACTAAGAAACAACATATAAATAAGATGAGTGTGGCTGAGATGAGAATGCTAAGGTGGATGTGTGGCAAGACTAGACAAGACAAGACAGGACAGAATTAGGAATGAGTGTATTCGGGAAATGGGTAGGAGTAGCACCGATAGAAGATAAGTTGAGAGAGAATTGATTGAGATGGTTTGGTCATATTCAACGGAGATCAACAGAGGTAGTAGTGAAGAGATGCGATGCTGTAACGGTAGATGGAAGTGTTAGAGGACGGGGTAGGCCTAGATTAACATTGGTTAGCGTTGTAAATAGAGATATAAATCTACTTAATTTGACTAACGAAATAGCCTTTGATAGGGCCGCGTGGAGAAGAAGGATTCATATAGCTGACCCCAATTGATGAAACTTAAGGCTTCGGTTGGTTGGTTATCATGGTGTAGGGATTGGGATCGTAACATCACCTTACACTAGTATTATTGTTGTTTGAGAAACCTTCGTAAGACCTATGGACCCACCAATTTTTAATTCCTAGTTTGGCACCGACATAAAACAGAACAAATCAATGATGCCATTCTGTTATAGAACTGCTTTCACAATTGTCACTTTCTTCAACAATAGAATATGGTTCTGCAGTATAAACCAAAACTAGGATAAAAGTATGTGCATAACACACTCATGTGAAGAAAGTTGAAGAGAAACTGCTACACGATGAAATAGTTCTATAATGTTTACTAATGGACATTAAAAAACTTTTAATGAAGCTAAAGAGAAACCATTCTCTTTTCATGGCAAATATGTTTTTAAGACAGAAATTTTGCATTCAATGGCTTAAAGAAACTAACAAGAACAAAACATTTTTCCAAACATGGGATGAAAGAAACCTCATTAGCCGACCCCATTTGATGGAACTTAAGGCTTGGTTTGGTCTGGTCTGGTTATGTGCAAAATCAATTTAGTTTATTGGTGCTTCTTTCAAATACAGTCCCTATTCAGAGAAACATTACAATGTTGAAGCAATTTGTAGGAAGGTAAGGGATATCAATGCTAGAATGTCACCTTGACATAGTGGAAGTCATCAGTAGAAGCCTTGATTATCCCACCACCCAATGTAAGCTTTTCTATTTTGACTTGCACCCCTACCATGAATTTTGCATGGGCCATTCACAAAACCTTAATCACTTGTTCTTGGTGATGTTCCAAGGTTATCAATAGAGCAACAATTGCACCTCTGTTGAGTAATGCATGAGTCATAGCATCATTGTCTAACTAATTCCAATCTTGAATATGTGCATGCAATACAACATTCATAATAATTGAATATCTTTCTTCAAATATTTTGTTGGTTTTAGGGAATTAAGACTGACCCTTAAAGCATTTGGCATTTTATAGCACATTACATAACACTGCAGCTTTTCAATTGCCACAATTCGAAAGAACATGTACTTACTTGAGAAAAGTCAAACCGGCTAGACCGGCTAGGTTTAGCTAGGGTCGCATCTACTGTCTTCTTGACCTCATCATTCATTGTCTTGAACAAATCCTACAAAATAAAGCACATACAATAAAAAAAATTACACCAATAACCAAGACTTAAAGGCTCTGTTTGGTTTTAGTTTTCAGAACATATTTTCTGAACGGAAACTGGTTTGACAAATATTAACACCAAAAGAGATATTTTTAAATTTTCAAAAATTATTTTCACCCCAAAAACAGAGAAAACAATATCAAAATAATGAGTGTTTTTTCATTTTTTTCATTTTTTCACCAAACTAGTTTTTGATTTTTTTTTTTTTTAAGAAAAAGAAAGAAAATAGATTCTGAAAACTTTACAAACTGAGCCAAAGTAACCTAGGTACACAATGTTAAGACAGTAGAATTTAACCTCAAAGAGTAGAGATAACAATTGACCAGATAGCTCCAACCGCTTGTTCCCCACATAATCCTATGAAAAGATTTAGGGAAGAATTGAAATCAACATTGAGCACAAGCACATGATAAGATCCTGTCCTAACATTCATGCTTCAAAAAACATTATAGGTCCATATAAATCTAATAAAATACAAATAATAATTATCTCGTCACTAAAACCAACTAATTATACATAAAATAAGTAGAGCTATTAAAACAGACAGTTAAACTGGAAACTCTTTCAAATATAATATTTTAAAGAGAATAAACATAAAAACCATTTTAGGGGAGAAAACACCAAAATAAAATACTAAAAAAAATTGATGATGAAGCATATATGGGCAGCCTACAACCAGTGCGCCTAACAATATTTATAGAAATGAAATGAAAACTATCTGCGTGGACTACTACCATCAGTGATTCAAATATGTGATTGATGGAGCTCATGGAAAGAGATTGCCAGTGGTATATTGTGCAACATTATTTGGCCAGAGATTTGGATTTTCAGTTTATTTTTCTCAAATTTTTCAGCAAACTAAATAGAGAAACAAATACTTCAGCAAACAAGGGTCACAGACAGTTGTATCATCTTGTTCCTAACTGCTTGGCACATTGATTATGGAGGGATATAAGAGGCGTTCGCTTTTCTTGCTCTAAATTGAACATTTTAGCTATCAAAATTATGTACACATCTAAGAAATCACAAACAAAATTTGAAAAATTTAAATTTCATCAGTGAGGCTCATCTTTCAAGACCAAAGCATCCATGGTACACAATATACTAAATGTGTGCATCTTACATTGATTATGTTAGCTGCTTTGTCAATATTTAAAAGGAGAAACACCATTAAATAGAAAAGAAAAAAACAAAAACGAAAACTTGAACATGAATTTGAAAGTTGAAGTAAAATGTTATTAAATAAAGTTATCCATAATTCAAAAAAAAAATTGACGTCAGCTGTCCTCCCTAAGCGTCTTCCCCAACGTTAGATGGAGAAAGAGATGCCTAAGGAAAAGTTGTCGACGAAGCTGACAACCATTATTAGTTTGAACTATCACTTACTTAACTTGCACAAAGCTACTTGAGGAGCTTTGCCTTCGCTATAATTTCCTGCGAAACTTGACTGACCTGTTAGGGCCATTCACATTTTAACTTGGAAAAAAACGAATCAAATAGTAACATTCATTCACTATTTATATTATCAAGGTTGGGCACAGAAGCTTCACATGTAATTCATGATGAAAGAAGAATTATAGGAAGTGGCTTTGAGGCATCAAGAAGGAAACAATAAGGATAAAAGCCTAAAAAATTGCATAATTATATTGATTTATATAAGCGAAGTTACATTCTTTTTATGATAATTCTAACCATTTACGCTTAATTGTGTTCTAAAGTTTAATTTACATCAGGGATTAATTTTGGCCATTAAAATGGAGTTCAAAAGGTATTGAAAGGCAAACATTAGTCCTAGAGTTGTGGTAATAGTGCACAGGTGCCTGGTGAATGAGAAGGCCATAGTAGGCCTGCTTGTATGTAGCAAAATAATGTGCTCTAAGTAAATAAAAAGGCAAGCAATGGATTGATGGTGGGCCTGGACTCTACTCATGCATGCATGGTGCATTCCAATTGAATGCGAGATTTATACCACAAAAGAAACATTGGTGGGTGAACCTTGATGCCTTAGTACCTTCCTACTATTGTTACTTCAGTAGTTTTAGCAAGAAAGTAAACAACAGGAAGGGGAGTTATCATTAATTAGGATGGAGAATTAATAAACCCCTTCCCTATTGTCGACAAATAAGTTAGTTTACAAATTCATATATAGATGTTTTGTTCCTACTTTGATTGAAAATATTTATTCTTTCTACAAAGACCATTCCTTATCAAGAGATGCTAAAGCTATTTAAAGTAAGTATTTCTAAGAGGTTAGGTTAAGCATTTTCCTAAAGCATAGATAAGAACAGAGATGAAAAAGATGTTAGCATTATGTCACTGAGTCACAGCCTTCGTTATTTCCAAGCGATCAGTGCAACATTTAAACAAATATGAAACTCCTCATGCAGACTCTTATATGTAATCCACCGCTAAACAACAATTGTATCTTACAACTACAATTGCATATGCATGGAATTAACATCTTCATAAACCTATTGCTATAAAATGTATTATTGCTTCATCATACCAAAAGAATATTTTTTATTACCTGCCAAAATATAGTGTTTAATAAATACATCAAGAACCTTTTGAATTTTTAATTGTACCATCAGCTTTTCTCCATCACTTACATAGAAACTTCATACTTTCGATGCAAGTCAAATTATAAATTTACCCATTTATCAAACTGAAAAGGAATAACATAGTCAACCAATAATAAATAATTTACCATTAGAAGTTCCCTTACCTTGTCATCCATTGCATCCTTATTCAAAATTGCTTCCATCATGCGTCTCAACATTACCGCAACATATATACATTTTGCGCGAAAATTATTTTGACGCACCTTAAGATGGGAGTGGGCGTTAAAAAACTAATTAGTTATACTTCACAATGTTAAATATGAAACAAAAACTAGTGAGTTCTTTAAAATATGTAGTAGTGAATGACTTACAGGAATGTTAGCAATAAATACATCACGAAGGATGCCCAGGGCTTTGCCTTCCTAATTACAATATCAGGATGGTAATAAATATTCAAAATGCAATAAGCATGTCAAAGAAGCAAGAAATAAAGAGGGGAGGGACGAAGAGAGAAGGTACGAGAGAAAAACCTTTTCAAATGAAGAATTAGAAAATGGTGATTTTCTAACCTGCAAAAGCAAGCAATATAAGACAAATATTAAACAGAAAATGGAGCATATTACATTAACTAACCTAGTCAGCATCCAAAATATACTATGAAAATAAGAAATATGCAACACCCTCAATACTAATATCAATTACTTCAAAACATCTGCACTATTGCTTCTAATAACAGCTAAGCAGCAGCATGCTTGGCTGCATGCCAAAATGATAACATTGAGAGGCACGTAAGTTTCTTATGAGCCAAAGTCTAAGCAAACACTTTAACCTTGAGAAGCATGTAAGTTTTCCAGATCATTCTGTGAGGAGCAAAGAATAGGACATCATGATCATCAATTAATTTATCAAGAGAGTCTTGCAAGAGAACAATCCACATGCATGACAGATCCACACCCTTTTATCAATAGAAGCTCTGTTATCAGAATCTTACGATTCGCGATTCGATTCGCAATTTTTGAAAAATCGATACAAATCTATGAGTGAATCTATTTTGGAAGTGAATCTCTAGTGAATTGCACGATTCACAATTCGAACTCACTTTTTACGATTTGTGCAATTCTTGAAACTATCATGTTTGACACATTTCAATTTTTTTTTTCTCTCTTTTTTTAGTTAAAATGACACTATACAACTTCTAATAGTGTTTACGAAAAAAACCAATATATACATAATTTGTTGTTAGATCACAGAGTTTTTAATAGGATCCAATCAGATTTAGTCAGACCCAACATGTTTTTAACATTTTCTTCTCATTTTTTTTTCTTAAAAAAAATCATAATGTGTATTCTAAATATGTTTAAGGTTTTAAAGTACTTGCAAGATAAATTATCTATTACTATTTTATTGAAATAAATATACTTTGATATTATATGGGTGAGGTAAGTTAAACCTAATGGTTCTGCCAGTTCTTTTTTCTCTTAAAAAAAATAATAAATAAATAAATACATTTTTGAACAATAGGCATATATACCTTTTAAAATACGTTTTAAAATAAAATATTATAATTAATTTTGTAATATTATTGGGTCATTGTTACTTGTAAAGGTATGTATGCTTATGAAATATCAACATCGTTGTTAAGTTATTGTTACTTAAAAATTGAGAGTTTGTCTTTGTTTACATTTTTTATTAAAAATGGTTAATAAGTAATATCTAAAAAAGAAAAATGTAAGATAGTAATCTTACATGAGAATATGTGTTAACTTATTACCTATTAGACCAGGTAATCATCATTCAAAATAAATTTTTCATAAGTCTAAATATTTTATATTTTTAAGATTTTTTTCACATCTAAGTGTGTGGATATATTTTTACCAGTAATTTATAAAATGCGACTAAATCTTTACGATTCACGATTCGATTGGATTCGATTCGCGATTCGGTACAAGACCATTTCTATTCACGATTCAATTCACAATTTGACAACTATGAATAGAAGCATCAGACAAATAGACATTATCAAGGATTGCCAACAAAGAAGTGGTTTGATCAACCTCACATTCATTAAGATTTCTATAGAACTGAAAATTTCCAAGAAATTGGAGTGGAGTTAGATAAAACCATCAAAGCTGTTGAAATATTGTGATCTCTAGAAAGACAATAAAGATGTGAAAACAAAATAATGAATGGGCTCTCACCCCTCCAAGCATCCTCCCAAAAGCGAATAAGCTCTCCATCACCCAACATGAGATGAGTGAAATGAGAAAAACACAAAAGGTCTTGAGAGAGAGTCCCATGGTGACCAATAGTTCCCGTTTCAACCACACGAGAATCCCATCTAGTGTCCTATAACCCATATCTACTTTTAATAACCATTGTCATAAATAATTGCTCTCTTGGGAATCTCCATAATCACTTACCCATTAAAGTAATGTTCTTTCAAATGACCCAAACTAAGTCCCTCCCGTACTTTACAGACAGAAATTACATCGCAATTGGCCAAAAGGTCTTTTCTCCCATCATTACTGCCCTCATACAAAACTCTCTCATTTCCTCGTCAATCTTATTAGCAACACCCACTGGGACCCTCAACAAACACAAGTCGTAAATAGGTATCCAAAACTGACAGGACTAGAGTAAACCTACCCTCCTATAATCAAAGCTTTCTTCCATCCATCTATTCTCTTCCTGATCTTCTTTACAACTAGAACACAAAACTCTACACATCTAGGATCCCCACACAATGAAAGGCCTAAATACCTAATTGGTAAAGACTCAATTGAACATCCCAAAAAGTTCATCAATCTATTCAACCTACCTTGTGATCCCTACAATTGTACTCTTTAAATTAATCTTACGCCCTTACATCAATTCAAACACTCTAATGAAAGAACACATTAACAGTTTCATCTTCTTTCTCTAAATAAAGAAAATGGTGTCATTTGCAAACAATAATGGGACACTGAAATTCAATCTCTACAACCACAAACACTAAAGAGGCCATGTAACACGAGAACTTGTCGCACCACTTTCTCCCATACATTGCCATTTACTCTAAACAATTCCACAACACTCCCCTCATCTCAAAAACAATCTATTTCCTTCGAAAAGATCTAGTAAATTCAAGATAGTAATAAGGTTCGGAAAATACATCTCCGACTGTATTACAAAGTAAAATACAATGCCATCATGCCTATAGATTACAGACCCAAGATTAATTGAAAGAATTACAATTTTGCCAAAAAGGTTGTATCCCTAATTATCCTAAGGTCTAGTAATCTTTCCAGTCATGGTAAGGATCTCCCATCTGCACCTGAAATGTAGGGGATGAGCAAACAAGAAGAAGCTAACTAATACTCTACTACTATGTGTACGCATGCAACGCAAGACAGGGCTCAAGTATAAGGCATACAATTTATATCATTTTATTCAATTTCCGTTCAACTATGTTAAGATCTTCAGACTTTTATCAATCAAGATGCAAAACATGGAAGTGTACAACGGTCTTTGACAACACAACAATAACATTATCTCCTAAAAGATTAAATTGACTAAATGGAACTCACCTCCTACATTCTTCATGCCCCATTACCCCCAGTCGAGACATTACACAACCAATCAAAGTGTCTCATCACCCCCAGTCGAGACTCATCATCCCAATTCCCATCTCATCAGCTCCAGTTGAGACAATTTAAAATCATTCACGTCCCATCAACGCGGTCGAGACAATCCACTCAACTACTTCACTAATTCCTCTATAGTTGAATAGGAAATTAAATACAATCTTACACAATAAACTTCATCCAAGTACTGTCCAAACATTCACTAGAATACCCTCAAAAGATCACAACAAGATTCCTGGACTCACCCCAAAGTCTCCCATAAAAACCACAGCACAAAAGTTGACTCACGGCGTTAGGCCAATCAGCCATCGGACCATCCATGGACGATATTCTCTGTCTAGCTAATTCACTCTAAAAGAATTTCATGCATTGGACCAAGGTCCGGTCAACCGGCCAGTCAACCACCCTGTCATAAATGTTGAACTTCCATTCATCATAGGTCAAAAATCCCCGGATCGAATTATAAATTTGTACCCCAAAGTCCCATTTATGACCTAATAGTAAAATAAAAGCACTTATTTCAGGATCTCACAAACACAATCCTAGCATTTCACACCTACACATAAAGAAGAGCAAACACTACCCTCTTTGAAAGCTTTCACAAAACTCTAACAAGAGCGAGATGGTGATGGGGAGGAGTGAGCTTCTTCAAGCCTTCAAACATCAAAGCTAAGTCTCCAAGGTCTGCTTCTAAACACAAATGCCTCCAAGACCAAATTCTAAATATGGAGTACGAAGGAGAGAAAGCAGAGGAGAAAAAAGTAGAGAGAGGTTCGAAAGACTTGTATCTCACTCTCTCCCTCTCTTACTATCTGAAATACAACCCAACGGTGATGGGCAGTACTAGTGAGAGTGTGGGTGTGAGAGAGAGTTCGCTCAATAGAAAGGTGAGAGTGGTTGTAGGTAAGATCAGTCAAATGCAAATCCCTCTGCAGAAGTCCCTGCTTTCTGTATCACCATACAGATTGCTGGACCTCAAATACATAATTAAATTGTACAATTAATCAAGTACTACCACCTCTTCAAAAATAATTGTAACAACTTAACTTATTGTTCCAAAGTGAAACGAAATAATTAAATCCACTCCCAACAACATTAATAATTACATTAATTAATGGTTCAAATTAATCCAGTCCTTACAAGACTTGCGCGAGATCTCCACTCCACATGGTTCTGACCCAATCAACCTCTCTGATACTATAGCACACCACAAAGCTCCTCAATCCGATCCTCATACACCAACGTGCAAGAGTTGATGAGATGCAATGCAAGATAATGAACATGCGATACTCAAATTTACGATTTTTGACAATAAATTCTTTCATAACTCTCACAAAAACTACTTGTCAAAAGTCTGACTTTTTGACCCTCACTAGACTCCCATATGAGACACTAAATACTCATCGAAAAATGGGATCTAAACTAATGCAATATGTTTATGCAATTTTATCTGAGATTGGTTCAGAGAATGCTTTGCATTGTCTCTAAAGACTTCAATTATCCATACTTCGAGCCTAGACATCTAGCATAAGTTTTTTCTACAAAAATTGGCCACACACTAAATCCTAAATCCTTTTAACATATATCCTAAATCATACTCAAATTCTGCCACCACCGAGTACACATCATCTTCAATTTCACTCGCAGACAGTTCCTGTGAAGATTCATCGGATTGCCAATAAACCTCCAAAGCCACCAAAGCCTCATGAGCATCAAATCTCCCTTTTTCAAATTCGGATAGTTTCTGAACCTCAAGTATATCTTGAGCAAAATGACCTTCATTATTGAAACTAACTTTTCATAAATCATCAAACATTTTCAGACCATAATTAGCAGTTGCTTGGCTAGTATCTGCTTCCATAAGCTTTTTCTCATAACAAAATCCCAACCCTAACTATCTATTCCATCCAATCCTTAATCATCTCCTTTGATCATCTCTTTATTCTACAAGATTAGCCTTGAAGTACTCCCAACCTCTTCTACTCTCTAAGTCACTATCTCACCTTTCATCAAAACATCAAAACCTCTATCGCCATCAATTTCCATACAGTATAAACCTTTCCTTTGGTTATTATCTCATCCTTGCTATTCAGCCCTGAACACTTTTCCCTTTCTGATTAACTTTGACACTTGATTTTAAACAAACCGAGACTTTAGAATGAGGAACCAACTACTTCCTCCCTAAATTCTCCTTCATGAGCAACTCGATAAACAAACGATTGGGCACACTTTGTTGGCTTTTCTTAAAATTTATTTTATTGCCCAATTTCTTGCAACATCTATAGAATCCTAAAGGGAGGACAGCGCAAACAAATTCCACAGAAGCTTGGAATTTGGGCATGAAAAAACCTCCCTTAGGCCATTTGTACTGAGATACCTCGGCATTACATATTGCTCTAGAAACCTCCAGAATCAAGAAATAAACCTAACTAACTTTTGACAAATCGTAACAAATTCCCTAAAATTTGATGACCATACTGGAAAGTTAGTAACGACAAGTGCTTACCTTTTTTATATATAAAAAGTAGTACTTTCCTTAAGTCACAAAACAGAATACATTGCTTCGTGATTGAAGCCTTCCCTAAGCTCTATACTTTGACAAATGAGTCATAGGACAGATTGCAACCCAATCAATTTTTAATTATTTGCTTGAGATTAATTTTTCAAATTGCAATATGTCAATTCTCACTAAGGTTTGCTAGACAAATTTTAGTTCTAGTAGACAATCTAAGTGACAATCATGGCTAACCAATGTGGGAGTTTTAAGACATGATTGGATTTATTCAAGCAAACTAACTCTCCAAGTTTTTGGTGATATTGTCTTTTATGTCAATCACCAAGATTTTCCTCTAGTAATATTTAGTTCAAATGTTAATCTCATATAAGCATATTCAAATCAACATACATTTGCAAATTAAATTGATTTCAAGAAATGTAATGAGATTGAACACAAGGAGTTATAGTGGTTTGGCACACTCCTCGTTCCTACATCCACTCCCAGCCTACCTTGCTAGCATTAATTTCATTAATCAACAAGTTGTCCCTAGTTTCTCTATGGGAGACACTAAGTGAAGGTGTGTGACGGAAATAGCATATTCAATCAAAGATGTATTACACTAGTAGTAGAAAATATACCTTCAATTAGAACTTCGAGACTTCAAGAGAAACAATCTCTCCACATCAAGGCACAATGAAAGCATCACAAGCTCACTCTCACTCAAATAGAAGAAAATAATAATAATAGCACAACAACAACAACAACAATAATAATAATAATATAGGAAATTTTTTTTTTTTTTAACGAAATAATATAAGAAAGTTAAATTCAGCAAAAACAGCACAATCAAGCAAGACAATTTTTTTTTTTTTTTTAATAAATAACCAAACTTAATTAGAAAAGCATGAAGACGGCGTAAAGAATACAAAAAGAAACAAGACCCTCAACGGCCCAAAACAAAACTAACGAATCAGACCCTTCACAAAATCTGCAAATGTCAAAACATTTGGATCCACCGAAACCGAAACCCAACTATGAAGCACCACAAGAAGCCAACTCTCTAACCAGGGAACTAAATGAGCTACACCCTAAAAGACACCTATTGCGCTCCAACCAAACCAACCAAAGCAAGCAGTGAGGAGCAAGTAACCAAACCTTCCAGCACCTCCTCCCAACCCTACCCCCCTTCCCCCCCCCCCCCCAAAAAAAAAAAAAACTCTGCAGCACACCGACAATAGAACCCGATTGCACCCAAACCAAACCAAAAGTCACAACAATCAACAACCAAAGCCATGATGCAACCAGACAATGAACAAGTAGATGATCCACCGTCTCCGTAGCGCCACAACACAAATAGCACCAATTCATCAAAACATGCCTGTGACGAATTAAATTGTCAATAGTCAAGATACGACCCCAAACCACCATCCAAATGAAAAAAGCCACCTTAGATGGTGACCCTGGCACCCAAATTCACCTCCAAGGAAAGACTTCCGCATCACCAAAGATCCACCCCATCCCCATCAGATTGCATACCATACAAAAAACCCAAGAGATCCACCAACTGATCCAACTCCCAATCCTGAACTTCGCGGCACAAGTGAACATTCCAAAAACCATATGCCCCTGCCGAACTATAACATAAGGCACTAGCTCCTTAGGATCAGCTACAATCGCATAAATCAAAGGAAACAACCTCGCCAAAGACAAATGACCACACCACCTGTCATGCCAAAAGCGAACCCTATCCCCCATCCCTACTTTAAACTGAACCTGACCCCAAAACTCCTCATGACCCAACCAAATCCCCTTCCATAGGCTTCGGCCATGAGCTTGGCGTACCCCATTCATACACCATAACCAAGACATTGTTTTATCACACAAGAAAGTAACCATATTAAGTATAAGACTATAACTTACTAACATATGAGGATTTCAAATCGAAGCATTAAAATAACAAGAAATCACATAAACCTCCCCAAGTAATAAAGATCAGCTCCTCAATTTCGAGGAAATAATATTGACCTCTCCTACAATAACGATAACTTTAAAAATGTTAAGACAGGTGATGAAATTCTTCTATTACCCTTAGGGCCCGTTTGTCTTCAGAGGTAGAATGGAGGGGATTGATAATAAAGGGATTGTTAGTGAGGGGATTAAGTAAAATTGTGTTTGTTTTTATGATAGTTGTCAGTGTGGGGATTGTTAAATTATTTTTATATAAAAGAAATATAAAATAATAAAACAAATAAAACTATGATTTTTACTTAACAAAAAATACAAAAACATTAAACATAAATGTTTAAAAAAAATGCCCAGCATGTGAAAAAAAAGAAGAAGAAGAAGAAGCTAAGCCGAAGGACTAATTTTCTAATACCAAGTCTTTGGCCTCCATCTCAATCCCAACATCCAAGGTCCATCCTAATCCGGAGGGCTTATGAATCCCCTCTCCATCTCCCAAGACAAACACAATATTATTGGGTCCCACCTCCATCTCAATCTCATTCCTTCCTCCATCTCCCAAAACAAACGAACACCTAAATATTTTGTACTTAAATTTGTACTGATGTCAAATGACACAATTACCCTCCCCCCTTGCGTAATAAATTTACCTAATTATCCTCAAGAAATACAAATGTTTGGATACAAGTGATGTTAGGACACAAGGATAATAATGGGTAAAATAGGCATTTTAGTCTAAAAATGATGGCATCGTCATTTTCCATTCATTTGGCTAATAGATGACTAATAATATGGGGCAAAATATCATGGAATTTATATTTGAAGGGACCATGGTGTAATTATGTTTAAACTTATGTCTAGATGCAATTCATTCGTCACTCAGGGGAGGTCAGTGTAATTTACCCTATAATAGCATTATGGTCTACAAGTAATGTATCACAGCCATTGCACTAACGGTAAATAAACAAGAATAGCACACCTTTTTCTCAAGAAATTCTAGGGCTTGATGTTGCGTATATACATCATTGCTTGCACATTCCTGAAATTGGATTAAGAGCATCATATTAAAGAAAGAACAATACCAAAGTACTTGGAAAATGAAACATTAAAAATAACAACGCAATTAAAGAAAAACAATGGAAAAACTAGGTCTTGTAAAATTGGTAAAACAAAAATGCTAACATAAACAAATGAATCAACAAAGATAACCTGATCAAGACAGCAATAAACAATGATCACAATAACTATAGCAAAGAAGACAAGGACATAAACATTATTTTGAACAAAATACCAAATGCACAAGAAACATAAAAAAAAAAATTACTTTAATTTATATCAAGCTGAAAAATTATGTTCCAATTTCATGCAATGCAAAATGGATAGCTATAGTTCGCAGTTTTCGTAATGTTCGACTTAATAACATTTATGCAAGTTGGACTTATAGTAGACATCAAAGAGAAAGGGAAAGGATTTGTAGGACATAAAGATAGATAAAGAAGTTCTCAATATGACAAATAGATGACAAGACGAGCAATGTAAATGAAAGTTAATCTGTGAAGAAATCCTAGGTAGATGTAATCTAAGATGCACGGACACTTCTACAAAGGTGGCATATCTATGTCGTATCCGTGTCCGTGTCTGATACCGACACTCCTTGGACACTTCCTGATGACACGTGTCCGACACTCGTCAAAACATGTCCTATTTTTTAAAAAGTTTTTTTAGACCCGAACACTTGGATGACACATGTGTCCATTGCATAAACACACGTGTCCACCTATTAGACACACATGAAACTCTTAGGCCTCGTTTGGGAACAGGCTTTTTTAGTAATTTTTTGACTTTTTGGCTAAAATATGCTGTAAAAAAAACTAGGATGTTTAGGATAACTTTTTGATTTTTTACGAAAAGATGTGCAAAAAGTAGAGAGAAAAAAAAATCTTTAACTTTTTGTATAGGTTGTTAGCTTTTTTATTTTTTTAGTGACTTTTAGACTTTTAGGTTAAAAAGTGATGTTGCCAAACGAGGCCTAATTATAAGTTTGAACTAAATAAGTTAGGATACAATAATAAAATAAAGAACAATGTAAATTCATAAAATAAGTGTTATATTATATTTTCTTTATTATCTTTAAATGAGATATTCATACATATGACATATAATAATAAATATATAAAATTATATGTTTCGTGTGTGTACTCCACATGTTGTGTTCGACACATTTTGTTAAAATTGGCGTTGGCATGTCTGTGTCATATCCGTATCATGTCATGTGTCCATGTCTGTGCTTCTTAGAATGTAATTCTAACCAATTTATTTTCTATCCCAAATGGCATCCTTGCTAGGTCCCGCCTTAAACATTTTACATCGAAACAAAAATTCAATCGAGTTTAGCATGTTTTAGCACAACAAACACTGTTATCTTTTAAACCTTGTAATTTTTCTTCGGACCATCAAATTTTCAAGCTTTAATCAACTAGCTAATCTAATCGCTTATGCCTATAGATGAATAAATGTGCCTTAGTAAAAGAAGTCTACCAACCGCACATCTCTCCCTTTTCTCAACCTTGTCATACATCGATCATCACTGCCTAATCCACTTCCTGTCCACAGCACATCATATGAATCTCACTTCATTTGGATTGCAAAATTGGAGTGCTATGGCATATAGTTTTTTTCATCAAAAAAAATAAATAAGAAATAAATAAATAAATATAAATATGAAGTAAACACATTCTTCCACAACTTATTAACAAAGATCAATAAAAGTAGAAAGAAGATCAAGGAAGGGAAAAAAGTCCCCCCCCCCCAAAAAAAAAAAAAAAAAGAAAAGAAAAAAAAAAGAAGGGAAAAGAAAATGAATTGAAGAATTAGAGAGACTGGAGCCCAAAAAGAGGCTAAGTAGTAAATTTTATCGTGTAAGCTCTCTCTATCTTCCACCTAATCCTACCAAATTCTAGCATTCTTGACCAACCAAATAGCCCAAAAAACTGCACCAACATCACACTTTTGAAGAACTTGAGCTTTCTTGTTAAGGCCTAATTTTCTAAAGTCTATCACTAGCATTTGAATACAAGACAAAGAACCACACGCTCAAACTCCAAAAGACACAATATCCTCCACCAAAGGACCAAAGCTACATAACAATGCAAAAAGAAATGTTCAATACTCCCCACCTCTGTTATCAGAATCTTACGATTCGCGATTCGATTCGCGATTCGATACGCAATTTTTGCAAAATCAATACGAATCTATGAGTGAATCTATTTTGGAAGTGAATCTCTAGTGAATCGCACGATTCATAATCGATTCACGATTCGATTCACTTTTTACGATTCATGCAATTTCCCGACCCCGAAAAATCTCCGGTCAAAAAAAAAAAATTAGATACAACAGATTTGTTCATCATCAACAACAACAACAACGTAGAGAGAGAGAGATCTGATGCTCAAATGTAAATAAAAAAAAAAATCAAATCTAACAGATCTGTTCGTCACCATTAACAGATCTGATGAGCTTAAAAAAAAAAAAAATTCAGATCTAACATATATATATATAACAAATCTAATATATATATACATAACAAATCGAGAGAGAGAGAGAGAGAGAGAGAGAGGAAAAGTGCTCAAACAGTGGTGATGGTGTCATTGCCGGACTGCCACAAACAGTGGTGGAGTTGTGGTGGCTCAATCGGCGGAGGAGGGAGAGGAGGGCGATCGGCGAAGGGTTCGAGAGAGAGAGATGAGAGGCAGTGCCAATGATGAGTGCATGAGGTGCACAGTGTTGTGTGAGTGAAAGGGGTGGTTTATATATCTATATAAAGAGGGGTAAAATAGTAATTTTACTTTGGGAAAATTCGGGGCCGGGGATGGGGCCGGGCCGGGCCTGGCCAGGGCTTGAACACTGATCCCGTCCCCGGCCCGAAACTGGTCAGGAATTTAATTTCGAATACCATCCCCGTCCCCACGGGGGTATTTTTCGGGAAAAAACCATCCTAATCGGGGTCGGGGGATCGGGTCCCCGTTGGGCCAGGTTCAAATTGCCATCCCTACATACCCCTTACACATAACACACCATTACAAATGTAAATAGCAATTACGTCTCTATAAGCATATAATCATTCCCATTTTTTTTGCCTCTCAATAAATAAGTGTGACCTTAGTGAAAAGTGTCCCAAGTCCCCACCCTCTTCTCTCTTTCATCCTTTTTGTCTCAACTCAACCTAGTCATACATAACTGTCATTGTGGGGTCTACTATTACACTGACACCATCACATATGTATCTTTCCCAACAATGGCTGCCACTGACATTGAAATAACTGACTCACCTAATTTGTTATCTTACATAGCAAAATAATTCAAATCCCAACATGTCCACTTGCCAACAATATGGAAAACATAATCAAGGAGCAGTCACTATTAAGTAGAGAGAGCAAAATTTGTATAGGCACCAAGGGGGCGCTACCCATGCATCAGTTCTGCTTAAGACTAGCTTGAACTTGATATCTTCAAGTCAACCAAAAAGCCTCCCCAGGGACCTCCTGAACCCCTAAACCTAAAGCTCCCATAGCCACTTTTTAACCCATTCAAAGAAAGCATGGATTGGTAAGATGCAGGAATTGATGCAGGAAATCCCACACAAGAGAATTAAGGTTGTTCACAATCAAGAAAAAAAAAGCTCCAACTTTTACATTTCAGGGATAACAATTAAGGATTTATTTACAATAGATTTGGTTGCGGTTTTGAGCCAGTTTTGCTCTAAAATCAAATGAAAAGGCTTGCTGGATTTTTCTCTAAAACAAAGGAAACGAATAGTGAGGCAAGAATGAACTGACGAAATTTAAGATGGGGATTTACTAATTTAAGATCAAGTGCTGGTGCCTTTGGGTTGAACCTCAGGTTTCAGAAGGGGTGATTCTGGCTATTTATTGTGCATAGCTCTGTTAAAAATAAAACAAACAAGAAGGGATAAAAAGAAACCACAGAATCACTCCAAAGGCTTCTAGAAGAAATTGATGGAATCGAATCATTAAAACAAGTAGTAGAAACCATATAATTTTCTCTAGCTCAGGTAAATATAGAAGCATAAACATGTTTTTAGAGAAATGATTACTTAAAAGTTAAATCCTACTAAAAAAATATTTATTCCTAAACTAAAGCATCAACAAATTTGCAAGGACTCACTATCAATCACTTGAATACACCTACAAACCAAAATATATATTTTGTAAACTACCAAAATGCCCCTAGATAGATAAAATCTGATTTCTATATATTAGGAGCAAAAAAACAATTTGGTTAAACAACACCCTTTTAAAAGTATTTTCTATTATTTAACATCTATAATGAGCATCAGGTTAACTAGTGGGGTCCACATGGCTTCTGCCCCTTCCCCTCCCTTCAAGATATACTTACAGGCTTAATTGTCATAAGAAATTCAACCCCGCCAAAGTGAGTTTAGTCAAAAGCCCCAAAGCCGATATTGAGAATAAGAAAACCAAAGTAAAAGAATCTCATTCATCCTGTTAGAGATAACTTAAGAGTCAAGAGATATCATTGGTGGCAGAGAAAATTAGATTAAGATCTTGGTCTTTAAAGCTCATAAGGTTGTTGTAGACTTGTAGCATAGGAAATAGGAATGGCAGAGAAAAATGATGACCAGAATGCAGGAAAACAGGAAATAGACAGAGGTAGGGGATGGTAAGCATCCCCGTGGGCCCCTCAAATTTGGAGCACAAGACCGGGGAGAAGAGAGGGGAGTGGGAAGAAAATAGGCCTTCATTGGCAGAATATATTTCATGTTTTTTACAAAATGTGGCTAGAACTTGTTTGTCATGTCATGGACTGATATCTTACCATTTTCAATCGAATAAGAGGCCCCTCACTGAAATTATGAGGTACACCATACTGCCTTGTGCCTACAGAAGAAGATCTCAACACCTCCTTTTCTAAGATGATTCCTTTATTTTTTATTTCTAGAGAGTAGAGAGCCATATATAGTTAGTTTGTTGCCATGTTTGACTTTTGAAAAAATAAAAACTAATTTAATGAAATTAAATATCAAAAAAAGTTATTTTAAAAAATTATTTATACCCTCTCAAAGGATAAAATTATATAAAAATGATGTGTTTAATTTTTTTTCACCAATTTAATTTTTAGTTTCTAAGAAAAAATTTCTGAAAATAGATTCTGAAAACCAAACCAAATAGAACTTTATAACCAAGAAAATTCCAACATTATTCATAAAAATTAAAAAAATTAAAATAAAATTAAAAAAAAAAAAAAAAAAGCTATTACATTTCAAACAACATACAAGTTAACTAACACAAAATAAGTTGTATGACGATTTTGCCCTTGAAATGGACCATTTGCAAAAGAAACATATTTGATTGTCCTTACTTAAAATAAGATTCAAAATTCAGGGTCAAATGTATCACAATTGAAATGTCAGAGACCAAAGTAACACAAATTTCAAACTACAAGGGCTGTTAGTGTAATTTGCCCTTTATGTTTTCTTCCTGATAAACTGGAAGTCAAAAGAGATGTCCATGTTCTAAACATAAGCCATTATCTAATTAAATGAAGACAGCTACGAACTGAAGATAACTTGCTAATTTAAAATAGATATAAAGAGGCAAACAAGGCTCTGCAAGGGAAGCCTACTTAAAGAGATGTAAGCATGAAGACAAGGTGAAGTCCAGATCCAGGCATGACAAGTATCACACTGTTAAGGATTGATACAGGGGCTCTTAGAAATCCTTTTGCACATTTTTTTTTAATTTTTCATCACTAACATTTTTTAACAAACTGTACGAACAATGGTTCTAGTGAGTATCTTTAACAATACCCTAACAAAGACCAAGGTTACATTTTGATATCAGGAACAGAATAGGCAAAAGCTGCCAGAGCCAAAGAGACGTGTGAATACAACAGACCAAAATAATAGGTGTAGCCTGTTAAATTACTCAAATATATACAGCACACAGACATCATTAAAACAGTAAGCTTTAGGACAGGCATTTCATTTCCCTTAGACATCCACATATAGGTATAAGGATATCCAAGTGGTATTGAAGTTACCAGTAGGTCCTACTGATTGGACTTATTTTACTCACAAGTCTTGAGTGAAATTTTTTTTACGTATTTGCCCCTTGTTTTAATAATGAGAAAATTTGAAACGTTTTAGATGTGTTTTGTGTTTGTGGAATGATTATTTGGTACTAGAAATGATACTGATAAATTTATCAAAGTGATAAATGGTTGGGACATTTAAACTGCCATTTGTGAGTTTTGATTTATTTGTGTTAGTTTGTATTAAAATATGATGTGGGAAGTGTAAGTACTTAAATTGTATTTTTTTTTAAATATTTTTACAGTAATAAATTTATCATTGAAAGTTAAAGTTTGAATAGGACTTTTTGATAAATAAGTCCAGTTCAAAGTACATGCTTGCAACTGCCCATTAAGTTTAATGGAAGAATCAACCTTCCAGCAAACCCACTATGTGAATATTCGACAAAACTATCATAATGGATGTGCAATGCTTGACATTGTCACCTCAATAGATGGCAGGAGTAATGCACCAAATCGAGGATCTCTTCCCAACATCTGCACAACCTCTTGATCACTCTCCATACCCATAGCCTTCATGACCACCATGATAGGAACCTAGAACACAAATCAAATTACAGGATTCTTCAAAAAATCAGTTGGTACAAAAGGAAGGAAAATATTCAAAAGGTAAAACAGAAAAGGAATGCTATGACGTGATGACCTTGTTAGCAAACTGGTTCAGATACAAATAGATCTTCTCTTTCTCCATTTTTATAACTGTTTTACTTTTTGTTGCTTCGGTACTGCTCATAACAGATGCTTGTACACTGAAAACATTATAAATAACACAAAGCAGCCATTGATGCCAATATTCAGAGTTCAGACTATGAAGAGTCAATACAATACTCAAAACGACAAACAAAGATTTCAAAAACCTTTGATTAATCAAACATACATTTAGAATTTAATATAACTAAATGAAAAATCTTACTGATTCTGTATCATTTAGCCCTAAGAACTTTCAAATGCTGAATTTTCAAAAATTCAAAAGCCAAGGAGAAATTTTTTTCATCAATATTACAGTTCAAAACTACATTCTATCATTCATGTTCGGTATTCCATGTGAAGCCTTGAAATTTGGGCCCTTTTTAGAGCATTTTCAAGTGTTAATTACTCATTATCAAATGCATTTTGAATAGAAGATCCCTTTAATAATTTTCAGACTTGCATATACTATGGTAATATCAAACCTCTTAATGGCTCAAACTATGAATTGCCACATTGTTCAGCATATTCAATTATCAAGACAAATATATCTATTAAAAAGGAATGTGGAAAATAGCCAAATGCAGATTTTAGGACAAAGAATGAGGAATATGACAAATAGAAAAGATAAAGAGCAAGGTCAAAGAATGGAAATCACAATGTGAAATGAGAGCTACTCACCACCCCTTCTTGTCAGTATCAATGATTATTCTGTTCTTGGAAAGTTGCTCCTGTATTAAAATCACCTAGAAAAGACAGAAAAATTAAATCCATGCTACAAACAACGAACTTGTTGAACTAGAGAGTAACATCTCATTTATTTGAGAGCGAAAAAGGGCAAAAATTGGTTGTAAGCAAATCTGATACAGACAGGTAAGTTTATCAAAAAGCAAGATAATCAATAATGAGAATGAGAATATACTATAAAAAGGAACAAAGAGTTCTACAAAAAGCATGAAATCCCTTACCATGAAGAAGGAAAAGAAGAAAGAAGACAAGACAAAAAAATCCTTAACCATGAAGAAGTAAAAAGGCAAACACAAAAGAGGCAGGCGACAATCAAGGCTTGTAGTTATGACACTAGAAGTCAACATGATTGTTATACAAAGGAAAATAAAAATCAACATTTAAGACAGAAGATGCTGCACAAGAGAACAAGACTCATTAAGAGGATAGGATGTCAAACTCTCTTGAACAAAGGAAGAGCTAAGTTTTCATTCAATGTTCTAGTACATGAAATGGCGACAGGAATGCAGCTATGTAGACAGTACAAAATTCAAAAGTGATGATGTAATTCTAATTGCATAGGGTGGTCAAGGGATGAAAACTTAACGCTAACCCACAAAACAATCAAAATGCTAAAGCTATCCAAGGATATCACCACAAAACTAATGTGCCATTTCATCTTTTTTATATGATGCACTGTCGTTAACATGAACATTCACTATCAAGCTAAATGAATGAGGATAACAAGAAGTGAAGCCAACAATCCAAACCATTCTAAGGACCATTCACACTAAGTTGAAACAAAAATACAATGTATAAAAAGATGCGCAAGAGTGTCCCTTGCCCTCCTACTCATGACGCATATATGTGGTGAAAGGACCTTGAGTCTCTTTTCTTGATTACTCTCGTCTTAGGTCTCTTCTCTTGAAGCATCTCATTTGTGTTCACCCTTTTATAGGTGATTGATCAAGGGAAAGCTTGAATTCTAGAAGGAATCTCTGGTAAGATCAAAATATGAGAGTTCAGCCGACCAGCAGAAAGATAAAAACAAATTTGTGAGTTTGAAATCTTTGCTTCGTTAAGATTACTAGAAAATTATTTTTCAAATGTCCTCCAAAAATTTTATTTTGCAACCACTTCACAAAGCAAACGTATTAATGAGAAAATTTTCAAAAACACAAAATGACCCCTTAAAACATCAGATTTGCATCCATCCATTGCCTTGTAGACAAATTCAATTACTTATCAAAAAGAAACCCTCTGTCTAGGAAATCCCTACAACCATTTTCCTATTACCGCTTTCTTCTTTCCAACCACATTGCATAATCTTAAGCCTCCATTTATTGGGAAAATTAACTTTTTCCATGTAATTAAGCTCTCCTTATTTTCTCCTTCACTGTACCCAGGCCACAAAAAAAGCCTCCACAATTTCTCAGTTTTGCAAGTCACCTTCACCAGAATTTTAAAAATGCAAAGATAAGGAAAGGAAATGCTTATAAGAATTGAATTCCAAGCCATGCAATTGTTCATCAACCCACATGAGCAATAGCAACTAAGAAGCATAAAATATATGAAGACATATCAAATTGATTTCTGATCCTTAATACTGAAAAGCTCTACATTATGATAGTTAGAACATCACCTTCTCAGTTCCCTTGATAATAAAATACCCTCCAGGATCAAGTGGGCACTCACCTAGAGCAAACAGAAAAAGACAATTAAGTTCATGAAAATTATTTGAAACGGTTCCAAAAAATTCCATTTATTGAGAATTTAAGCATAACAACCAAGTCTTGCAAGTTCAGCTCCATCTTTCCCATGGAGCACACAACAGCAACTTCTTAACATGATAGGCATTCTTCCAATAATAACATTGTTCTGCAAACCAAACGATAACATCATATCCAGACAGCGGGGAGGGGGGAAAAAAAAAAAAAAAGAATTAAAGAAATTGATAGTACCTTTGCTACTGGAGGGGTTTTCTGACCATGACTTCCAGTAATGTACTCAATGTTAACATATATTGGAGCAGCATACCTAAAACCAATGCGACAAAAACTTAGTTAGATGTTGGAAATGTCAAGCGGGAGTCATATTAAGTTATAAATTATTACAAATTACAATAGCCATATTGAACTGAGATCCAAGAATATTTGGAGATTGAACATATAATTATAAAAATGTCAATAATATAAAATAATAAAATAATAAAAAAACAAAAAACACATAAATACATAAACGGGGCCTTCGAGCCCATGTCCACCCATACAAGCCAGTCACCACATCCCACCACCCTCCACCGCCACCCACTACCATCGACAACTTACCATCCATATTTCCTTGTGTTTGTTTTCATTAATTTTGAAAAAATTCCTATCTCCCGTTTTATGTAAACATAAAACAATAAATGTCATCTTACCCACTTCACCAAAAAAAATTAGAGAATAATATTAACGAACGCACTACAAAACTGCAAAATTTGTATCACCCCCAAAGTTAAATCGACTGCAGAATCTGTCTCACACTCGAAGCTAAATCTTCAATACTTTTACTTGTAAAGGATTTCGCTACAGCAAGATACAAGGAACTGAAGCTAAACAGACACATGTAGTTGACATAGGCCTATTAGAACAGCAGCAAATCTGGGCTTTGGGGCTGATTTTAATTGGATATTATGGCTAAAATGTCAATAAGAGTATAGGGTACAAACAGTACCCGTGAACAGTGTTTTGGACTGTTAAAGTGCAGAAAATAAAAGAGAGAAAGAAGGAGAAGAAGAAAAAGATAGATTTAGGAATCACTCCTAAAATCCCTTAGGCATCACACCTAGGATTTGATTGCATTACACAATCCATTAAGAAACTTTAAAAGCTCTAAAATTCTCTAAAATATCAAGTCTATTGATTGCATCACACAATCCATTAAGAAGCTTTAAAAGCTCTAAAATTCTCTAAAATATCAAGTCTATTAAATTATAAGCATTACATGGCTAAACCAACTATAACTGAAAAAGGGAACTATTATAATATATTCGACTTCTAAAACTAATTTAAGACCAAATAAGAAACATAAATAAAACCTAATTAAATAACTTGACTCGCAAGACGACCATGGGCGACCCCTACAGCCCATGACAGCGATAATGAAAATTACCAAAATATCATTGACCTAAAAATCCTACAAAACATAAAATAAGACTTCAATAATACTAGAAACATAATTATATAAAATTCTTATCAATTTCTCTATGAAATCATGCCAATGTCCAAATATCATTGCTTCTTTGAATTTAGCCTTCCTTGAGCTTCTTATACTCTGCATCAATAGTATTAATAATTAACCTATTTGTAGTTTGTATTATGAAGTCACAATTAGAGCACTTTTGTGTTTGGAAATTTTAGATAATTTAATAGCTAAATGTGATTTATCAGGTTTTGCTTACCTATAGGGAGAAAAAATTATTATTCTAAAATCATTGAGTGAAACACCAATTAAAACTTGATCAGGTCTCAAGTTGGGTTAGTTTGTTTAATTTTCAGAGGGGGCCATGCAACTGAGAATGTGAAAGTCCAGAAGGACTTTATTTTTTTGTTATTTACTAAATAAAATGCTTCAACATTCTAAACAAACCAATTTTCAAAACCCAGAGTTCAGTTGGATAATGAAAAATGGTTTTTATAAGCAACTCCTATTGTAAAGAAGAGAGAGGCATGAGCTACTTCTTTGATGCCTAGGGAATAAAGTGCTCAAATCAAAAAAGAAACAACCATTAATCCATATATATAGAGGACTTAGACTTGATAAGATTGGTTTGAAGTTCCAATGTCAGAAGTATTGATTTGAACATCATATCCCATGGGGAAAAGATAATTAAGAAACCATGAAATCACATCAGGAAACGTTCTTGAGAAAATAGTATAAAATTACTGCACATAGATACATGTGGGCACAATTCTTTACTACATGTATGCCGATTTACGTTACACGGACTCTTTGGTTTTGGGGAGGTACCTGTGTCAACACGACACAACACGGTTACAGGTGCGGGATATGGTTGGGACACAACACTTTGCAAACGGATACGGAAGAGCCCCAAATGTAGAAGAGAAAGAGAAAGAGAGAGAAAAGAGCAAGAGAACCTGGTCGCCGAAAGGGTGAAGACATCAATCTCTTCTTCTCCCTCTCTGTCAATCTCCTCTTCGACTTCGACGAGTCTCGTCTCCTCTTCTCTCTCTCTCTCTCTCTCTCTCTCGATCTGCTCTTCGTCTTTCGCTTTATCGATAAAGCAAGTAAAAGACCCCAATAAAATCATCTATTTTATATATAACAATAAATAAAATAAATCATCTATTTTTTTTTAAAAAAAATAAAATCATATATAATAAAAAAAATTTAATAAAATCTTTAAAATAAATCATCTAATTTTTTTATATTTCTTTTAACATAATTTGTTATTCCTTACTTTGTTGTATTTTTTTTATTTATAATCTATATATAAATGTCAATTAAAAATAAAAAATATATATAGATAAATTAAAAATATTATTAAGAGAAATTATTGGGTGTGGTACTTTTGGTTTGAGAAGAAATTATAATAAAACCGCCATGTTATCAAAAAAATACATAATATTTATCAGAAAAATACATAAATTTTTTTGACACATGGGTTTAGCCGTATCCGTACCCGTGTCTAATTTTTGGGTACTTTTTAGCCGTACTCGCGTATCCCTCTTTCAAAGATTTATCAAGTCGAATCTCTAGATACACACCCACACCCGACACTCGTACCCAAGTCCATATAACATAAATGCCGATAAAAAGTTCAAATGCTTGTATAATTACCAACAATAGGTGAAAAAATTAATTTAAAAAAAAAAAGACTTTGGATAAAATGGAAAACCAATAGAGCCATGAGGTGGTGAAATTGAAATTGGATAAACTAATTAAAGTGTATTAATATAATGGCACAAATTAGAGAACTTCCAAATTAGGTGGGGATCTAAATCCCCATATACATACAAATAGCTCAATAGATCTTCCATATAGATCCATGCATGTTATTATGATCATTCACTCTGCCTAAAATCTTTGATGCTAGTATGGAAATTACAAACCAACAAAAGACTTTGCAGGTAGGCCCTCAGTTATCTTGATTATTTTCATATTTTGAAGTTACCAATATATGTAGGAGATTTGTCATAGACATAAAAGAGGTAAATCCAAATGAAAAAATTAATTTTAAACATCTTCCTTCCACGTAGAGAGTCAACAAAGTAAGGAGTTCCCATACATGGTATACAACAAGCCAACCCTTTGAAAAATTCTATTAATGAAAACTAGACTACCATTCGAACATTCAACAAACCATCTTAGAAATCTCAAAAAAGCTTCTACCTTTCTCCTACAAATGGCCTAAAGCATACAGTCAAGCAGCCCCAAACATTTAAATTAAATAACAAGATTTCAATATAAGATCAGATCACATTTAGAAAACTTATTTGAGATTTTGTGACCCAAAAACTAGAAGGTACCCATCCCTCCATACTCCAATTTATATTCCTCCAAAGCCTTGAAGGAGAAGGTGGTGAAGGCTTCAGTGCCCCCTCCTCAAAATTTAAAGATAGCATCAAGTTCAATTCATACAATTGTTCCTCAGGTTTTCAGTACAGGACTGACTAGAAAAGTCCTGTACAATGCATGCAAACAGCAATTGAAAGCATTGGAAAAATTACAGGGTATATATAAAAACCTACAACTTGATCTCTGTTTCAATAACATACATCATCAGATGGAAAGCTGAAAGCTGAGTTATTGGTACACAAGGAGCAACTACATTAGAGGTTGTCACTATACACTTATATCCTTTTAACATTCTTTCTCAGCATTTTTTTTTTTTTTCTCAGACCAGTTTATTATCATCTTAGAATATATATGGAACTAGTCATTCCAATTATTTTTATCTTCACTCTGTTGATTTTCATTCAAAAATATATCCAACATAGGATGATCAAATTATTGGGCCAACTCTAAATTTATTCATCACTCAGACTAATTTGAGTCAAGTATTCCATGCAAAAAAAAAAAAAAACCCTCAAGAAAGCAACTTCAGCAGTTCAGAGACTCTAGAAAAACAAGACCAACTATAAAGAATAAAAATAGATCTAAAGAGGACCTACAACACTAAGCTGAAACAATATTCAGCAATCACATCTCCCAATTTCCCATAATGTACAAGTGACCATAAAAGCCAACTTTGCCATCTAGCCAAATACTTGAACGCATGCCAAAGTTCATATTCACAAGTCACCAACCAAAACAAAGAAAAAATAATGAAAGATAAAAGATAAAGAGAAATTTCAGGAGATGTCTCTAGTTAAAGATCAACATGATATTCTATTAAGCACAATATAGGTTATGTAGGGTATGACTGCAGGGAAAGGCAGGAAAGAGAGTAAGAGCTACCTAAAATGCAAGCACTTCTAAGACGTTGCATCCGTAACAGCAACTGCACTCATTGGACACTCCCCAACAAGTGTCAAGAACATGTCACTGTTTTTTCAATATTTAGAACAAAGTAGGTGTTTGGAATGTTCTAAATAAGTGCACTTTTTGACTTTTTGATTAAAAAAGTAGAGAAAAAAAAAGATGTATATTTGGGATAACTTTTTGGCTTTTTACAAAAAGATGTATACTAAAATATTGTAGTAAAACCGAAATGACCATTCTACCCCTGTTGATTTTTTCTTGCCTTCTCAGAACTATTTTCGGAATATGGTCAAGCTTTTAACCCATTTTAAGTCACATCATCTCTCACATTTTTACACGTTTTTCAAAAAAATTAAAAAATTAATTTTTAACCATCTTTCTAAAACAACCCTCAATTTCTCTGTCACCCTCACTTTAACCAACAATGTTGGGGACCTTAGTGGGGGTGACCCCAACACCCCCACCTCCACATTGGGGGCTGTGAGAGCAAGACTAAAAATAAAAAATAAAAAATTTTGAGCCAATCAGAAAACAGTAGGGGCGATGGGGGTCACCCCACTGGGTCCAAGGCATTTTTGCACTTTAACCACCCACCCCTCGCCCCTTCTCCTAACATCATTACCGTGGGAGACATTGTGAGTAAAGTGATTTGTAGAGAGAAATATACAGAAGGAGGAGATTGGAGATCTAGGATTTTGAGAAGGGATAAGGGTTGTTGCATGTTATGAGGAAAGGGTTGTTGCAGTGGCATGTAAGTTTTTTGTGACACTTTGATCCTTAAAATTTTTTATTTGTCATTTTGGTTTTAAAACACTAATAAAGAATACAAAATATAAAATTACATTGTTAATAAAAAAAATTAAAATTTTTATTTTAGGGACCATAAGTTAAAGTTATAATTATTTTCATTAATGATTTAGTTGATCATTTGTAATTAGACTAATTTCACTTAAATTGAAACTTTTACGAACAAAATGTACTAAATTGAACTTGAAAGACCAAGATGACACAAAATATATTCTTTAAGGACCATAAGTACATTTTATCCAATTTTGTTACAGGAAAGATATGTGCACAAAAATGATATACAAAAAAATTCAAAAAATATATTATATAGTCTAGATTTAGCTCATGCACCATAGAATCTACATTTAAAATGAATCTAAAACACACTAATTTTTCTCGAGATATTCTGGACATAAATTTTTTTTTTTGTTGGTAATACTGGACATAAATTTTGTATAACTAGCATTGTTTATTTTGTTAACAGCATTGGGCTAAGATAGACATATGCCATTATATCTAGTTCTGTACCTTTAGAAGGCAGCCAAAGCAGATGGCCCCCCCAATAGGACCCATGAGGGAATAGATTAGTGCATATGGAGGCCATGAGTGAATAGCTGGAGAGCAATTGAGTGAAGGTCCATTTCATAATTAAGGTGTTTTCGTTCAATTAATTTTGCACTCAAAAACATTGTCAAAGATTGTTGTATCCTAATCCAGGGCATGTACAAGGAATTTACCAAATAATTTACGCGATATGGTCTACATCATGTTACTCTTAACAACAAAATAAATGGTTTGATATAAAACTTTTTCTTGAATTTGGAGAGAACAATGAAATGTGGTTGATGAAGCTCATCCATACCATTATGAAGGTTTGCCCTTTGGGTGGCACTTCTCCAAATTTAGCTCACATAAAAAGCCGGGATTAACGGATAATAGTAATAAAAATAATCATCTTTAAAATCATTTAGCAATTTGTATTTTTAAATGTATATTGTTAAAGTACAATTCTTTTAATCCATAAATCCCTAGTACTATGGAATTGAATAAAAGTCTCTAGTACTATGGAATTGAATGGTTGTTGCATTGTCCAATTTACATGTGTCAATTGTCATTCATTATTAACATGAACATTGTCTTAGAGCATCGCTCTTTATTTTATTTTTTTTTTGGGTAATATTTTGGCGCAGTAAAAGTGTATTTTATAAAGATTTGCTACAAGTCACTCTATTGGTGTATAGTATTTAATGGGTTAAAATAGCATAGGTACTCCAACCATGTAGTATTTTCTGGACTATTTTTTTCAACTACCATTCACTAACTATTAAAATAACAAAATAAATAAAAGTTGTATTAAATTAATTAACTTAATAAAAAATTACAAAAGAAATTAAAGTTGTTTTAAATAAACAAACTCAGTACATAATCATGAAAAATCATAAAAGATACTTATCAAAATTGAAATTTGTTGAGTGTGCTAGTATTTTAGCATAAATCTCATTTTTACTTTATTGATGATATTTTTGCTCCCTTTCATTCGTTTCCTTCATTATTTTTACTTTTTTTTTTCTTCTCGTATATAGCTTTTCTCTTGAAAATCACATTTTCTCTTGTTTAAAATCTCCATCAAATCACAAAAACAAAAGCTCAAAGGTGGATTAACAATAACACAATAAATTAGTAATAAATTAAACTACAATTATAATGGCATAACAGTAATTTTATTTTTATTAAAAAAAATAAATAAATAACTGGTCAAAGATGAAGTGTAAAATAGCACTATTAAAATATTTAATGGTGTAGTTTGCTATTTTAGCACTGATGCACTACACCACGAGAATTACTATTGTAGCCAAAATCCAATTAACTTGTGACACTAGGACACCCTAAGCGAAATGATTAGTTTTTCTAGGAGTTAAACTTACTCTTTGGCTTGCAGAACACGTGGCGAGACTTTAGGTTCGACCCCAACGTAGATAGGATGGGATTTTCTATTGATTTTCTCTCTTACAAATATGTAGAATAACCTATTTACATAACTATTTTTTGAATTTAAAAAAAAAATATTCATGTTGAGTAAGATATATATATATATATCTTCTTTTTTCGGTCCATGTTTTTTTGTTGCAGCATTGCCAGTTCAACTCCTTTTAGCTCCCATTCACTTCTGTTTCCATGTCCTGTTTATATTTTTATTTTTCAAAAAAAAAAAAATCAGAAAACTCTAATAGTTAAGAACATGAGACAATGGGAAAGGGGAAGTGGTCATGTTTGTATTTCAGGAAACCAAAATAATAGCCATAAGCCAAACCCAATCCATGTAAGAGAAAAACAAGCCCAACATTTGTTAGGTAATAATTCATTTTATCAACCATAGATTCAGTAACCATATGTCACACATAAGTTCAACAACAACCATATTTGTCCAAAGCAAAATACGATACAAATTATGCATATAGTCACCCAAATCCTATACAAATTATGCAGATCCTTATTACCATATCCAACAATTACTTCACGTTCACAACTTCAATCTCAAAAACCAAAACCGAGTTGGGATGAATGCCCCATGCTGGGAATCCACTAGGACCATAAGCATAGTCAGGAGAGCATTGTAAAATTCATCACATATATGTCAGTTCATGAAACAAGGGTAAACACAAAAAAATGTTCGACCTAATGCCTTTAACAACTAGAGCTTGCGGTTTTGTATAGTGTACTAAAGCATTTATAATAACAAGGCTGAATTTCAGTTATAGGGACAAAAACACAATGTTTGTATTTTAAAGAAACAAGGCCAAATCTCAGTGCAAGCCATAGGCATCACAGGGAAAGTCGTGGCAGTGATGGCACAATGAAAACTGCTGCTGAGATACACTAGCGGGTTATTAGCAAAATCTTATTTAAAATAGTAGGAGAGGCACAACAACTAAACCAAAAGGTAACATTACCCGTAACGGAGCAACTTCTCCAACCTGCATTCCCAGAACGCCTTCATCCCATCCTGAGACAGAATAAATTCTCCAAATGAATTAACAACCACAGAACCATTTGTGCCACATCTTAATATGATACAACAATTGCCACCTCAGCGAAGCAATGCCCAACTCTAGGGCATTTTAAAAACATTAGATTTGAATATAATTCTGTATTACAGATTTAATTGTCCCCATAGCTGATTCACCAGTACTATGCAATGTCATAGAAGAAAAAAGATCAAACTTAATATGTAAGCAGATTTTAAAGGTAAATCAGACCACATTTCTACTAATGTGTGCATGTATTTCATACCTCTGTAGTGTTTCGATTATGGGAGAAGAAATTTTTTGATAATTTTTCCAAAATTTTGAGGAAAGTAGTACTTGAAGGATGGATATTGAAAATGAGTCACACAAAAATTAGCAAAGGTGCTTGTATTTGTTATGTTCATAAAACAAAAAAGGGGTGAAATTTTACATATATATATATATATATATATATTGTAAAACTAAATGGAAGACTGAGAAACTTTACTGCCTAAGATGATGATAACAGAGCCACTTTTCTGTTAACACAACTGAGGTAAGGATGTCTTCCAATCAAAATTGCAATTCATACTCCAAGATAGAAAAAGTTGAAGAATATTCACATTGAAAAATCTCTTCCAATATGAATTAAAGAAATTAAAAAGGTATGCCTGCTCATCACAACAATGCTGAGAAGGTAAAATGCAGTCAAATGTCACAACGAAGACCTTCGAGCTCTGATCAATTTCACAGTGTCATAGGTTGCAAAAGATTTCTCCATTCATCTTCCCAACAAACTAATATCATGGTAACGCCCTCAAAATAGTAACATTAAACCCATCAGATAAGACATGCATTTACATATAAACCAACCATATTCCTTTATTTCATTGAGTTTCATTACATAAGTATTACATGTTAACATCAAAACAAAATGCCCTACGGGCTTACAGCTTTCCAAGTTAACACTTGGTTTCAACAAAAGAGTACTAACTCGTTTACACATTAAGCCCTTGGCTTGAAAGAGTCCAGGTGTTGCTTCACCAACCCTCTCACCTACAGCCCCAAGCAAAACAAAGCATCCATGAATGGCCATTCTCTATACTCTATAGGCTCATCAAAGCATCATATAAGTTGTATAAATTAAGATGACCTTCAGTCCATTTCAGTCAGAAATAAATAGAAAAACAAATAAGTATTTACTATTTAGGTTAAGAATAGAAAATCCACTTTTCGTCATCTTTTGGCAGATGAACCATATGTGCAAAGTGATACTATACAAACAACGACTGCCACAAAATTATACCAAATGACAGGGCCATTAGTTTTCTCCTTCAGTTCTTACATGCCACTAATTCAAGAGCACATCCGCTGCATTCCGCAAATCTTCACTAAAGATATCAATTTTCATAATCAAAATTACCTTCAAGAACTCGGGAAGGAGCTGGAATTTGTCAACCGCAGACTTAACCGGAGCAGCCAAGAATTGCTTGTCAACATCTGACCTGAGCTCCAAAACACAAGAATAGGAATAGACTTTCAAAAACAACTTAACCAATACACAACCAGCCAAATTTAACAATTGAAAACCAAACCAAACTAAACCTTGTATCCCACTCAAGTAGGGTCAACTACATAAATCATTTTTCACCATTCTACTCTGTCCAATGCTGTGAGCTCAATTAAATTAAATAAATTCACATTCTTTATACTACCGCATTTCATATTAGTTTAGGTCTTCCAATTATAATGCTCATATCATTTTTCCTTACCATTACATCTATATAAGTCTTTGTTGTATGTAACCAAACCAACTTAGTACATGTTTTCTCTCAAATTATTTTCGATTGGTACTACCCGAATATATTTATTTTTATCTTTCCTAATATTACCACAAATCCATCTAAACATTCTCGTCTCAGTGCTCTCAAAACAATTGAAAAGCAGGGTGAATATCTATGGGGATAATCATATTATGTATTAATAGAATTAAATGTAGAATGGTTCGAAGCGGGTTTGTTAATCGAGCAAGCATTGTCAAGAGAGATGCAATCTTCTGCCATTATCAAGAACCTATGTGTATGTCAAGAGACTGTCTAAGATAAAAACGTTTGTCTAAAATCATATTTAAAAAATAAATAAATAATCCTAAAACCCTACACCCAAAAACTGAGAATCGTGAAAGAAAGAATGAGAAGAAGAACACACTCTAGTGGGACAGCGTAATCTTCCTTGGGTCCATAACGATCAACAAAAACAATCACTCACTTTGGCTCTCTTTGCCCCGTTATTCTATTCAGACTGTAGAAGAAGGCGGCGAGTAGAGAGGGAGAGATGAAGGCGGCGAGTAGAGTGGAGAGAGAGAGAGTACCGACTCATTGGGGATGCAAGTTCTACACCAAGCACCTTGCAAGCACATTAGTTTGTGAGCGGCAAGGCAGGCAGGGTAGATCCCTATTGCATCTCCTGGGTTGGTCCTTAGGCATAATGCACGGGGGTACGCAGTACCACTCATGGAGCCGGCTTCTCGGGAGGATGACAAACGCCCAGTCCGTAACAAGTGGTATCAGAGCCAGCCTAGGGGCACTGTGATGGGGACGGTACGTGGGACTTACACCAAGCACCATCATTGTGGGGTCCGCACCAAGGGTGGTGTCCGCACTGGGCGGGTTTCCCGTGGGTAGGGGAACGGACAAGTATGGAGGCAGGCAAGGTAATGTCCCCCTGACGAGGGCGTCAGGGACTGGCGGTGGTAGCATGTCACGTACCGACTCATTGGGGATGCGAGTTCTACACCAAGCACCTTGCAAGTGCATTAGTTTGTGAGCGGCAAGGCAGGCAGGGTAGATCCCTATCGCATCTCCTAGGTTGATCCGTGGGCAAAATGCACAGGGGGGTACGCAGTACCACTCGTGGAGCCGGCTTCTCGGGAGGATGACAAGCGCCCAGTCCGTGACACTTGGCATGGCATGCTGCTGGCTTTGGCTGGGCTGCCTTGGCCGTGGCATGGCATGCTGCTAGCCTAGGCCTTGGCATGGCATGCTGCTGGCTTTGGCTGGGCAGTCATGCCATGCAAGGCCGATAGGCCGAGCGAGCATGCATCCACGCCAAGGCAGGGCCAGCAGAACCAAGCAGCATGCCATGCCAAGGCCCAAGCCAGACAGATGCCCATGCAACGGCCAAGGAGCACAAGCCAAAGCCAGCAGCATGCCATGCCGAAGCCTAGGCCGCGAGCATGCCATTGCCACGGCCAAGGCAGCCAGCACAAAGCCAGCAGCATGCCATGGCTCCAAGGCCTTAGCGCCACCAGCATTGGCCATGCCACGCCAAGGCAGGACCAGCCAAAGCCAGCAGCATGCCATGCCAAGGCCAAGGCCGCAGATGCCATGCCACGGCCAAGGCAGCCCAGCCAAAGCAGCAGCATGCCATGCCAAGGCCTAGGCCAGCAGCATGCCAAGCCACGGCCAAGCAGGCCAGCCAAAGCAGCAACAGCCATTGCCAAGCCGTAGCAGCAGCATTGCCAATGCCACGGCCAAGCAGACCCAGCCAAAGCCCAGCAGCATGCCATATCACGGCCAAGGCAGCAGCATGCCATGCCACGCCCAAGGCAGCCAGCCCAAAGCCGAGCAGCATGCCATTGCCATGGCTAGGCCGCAGCATGCCATGCCCGAACCAAGGCAGGCCAG